CAAGATAATGTGAAGAGGAGGGATGGTGCCAGTGTGTGTCCAAGCGACCACAGCGGGTTCTACATTAAGAATCCTAGAGTGCTGGCTACAACAAATCCAGATGTTTTGGTCACAACAATGTTAGCATCTGTGAATCAATAGCTCAAGAAGTTTGTTGTTTACCAGTATGCTCATGGGATATGGAAGACAAACCTAACTATAAGGTTGAACGACTAAACACCACGAACAAGGGATATGATTGCATGGTCTGGTTGCTTGCCATAGTCACCTATTGTGCTACGGAGCTAGGCAGAGTGAACAATTACAAACAGTTCTTTCACAAGTTCGAGTTCATCATTCCTTCTTTTGTGTGGTGAGAAAGTGACGGCGATCTAAGTGAGAGATAGAGTTGCTCGTTAGATACTTTTATCACCTGTGTTCTTATATTGCATACCTCGTTACTAGCAGCCCAGGCTACCAAAGCTGGGAGAAAAAGAGGTACAGTCGCTTTTTGGTGTGGAGTGCTAACGGAGTTGGGATATTGGAACTATTAGTTTATGTGTACTTGGATTTCTATCAAATTTGACGCATGCATCAATTTCGGTTGGATCTCTCGCCCGACAATTAAATCTACTGCAGATGGTACGAAAATGCTGTGGGAAACATCACATGCAAACACTAATTTTATTCCCAATTTTATTAATTTGAAAAATTGGTGTCTTTACTTGGAAACCATTTTTAATATGCAAGCAATCGTGGCCTAAAATTATTGCCGGTATATTTGTTTTCTGAGCATTTATTCCTGTAGTCTTGGTCTCTGTTGTTTGTAAGATGGTCGAAATTAGATTAAAACACGGGCTGTCTACCTCTTGTAAGACCTTATACTTTAATCATCTGAGATAGTGTAGATTCGGTGATTGAAGCCAGTGATTTGTGAAAAAGTAACGGGCATGAAATTGAGGAGTGAACAGAGACCGATCGTTCATCACTCTCTAGACAAAACTTGCAGCCGATTGGCCTCGATATAATTTCTTAGGCTTCGTGTATCAGTCACCCTGTTATCCTCTATTAAATAAATCCCAACTGTGCATGGATTCAGATGTCGACATGACTACAGTTTATTATTGAATAACACAGATCATAAAGCCACAAGTACACCAAGCAAAGTTGAGCAGAACAGCTGATACGCGCAAGCAAGCAAATACAAAGGCGGTCTCGGAGCCGAACCAACTATTGAGATTCAAGCACATATACATGGGAAAAAGAATGGTTCATCGAGCGACGTTTAAGCATCTAACATTTATGCTAGAAGGAGGCACATGTGTGTAGTCCCTCACATGTGATAGAGCATACATGTTCATGCAGGCATGACAGTAATAACAATAATAATAATTCAAAAGCGTAGATAACTTGTTACCGTAGAGTAACACATCCCGTTAAATAATTTAGTTGAAGGGCCTGACGAAATTAACCGCAAACAAGCTTAATTGTAGGGGAGGTGCTATAAACTGAAGATGCTGGTGCTTACAGTGGGTAATTTAAAAGAGATCCCGATGCGACAGAATCAAACATTGCTTTCATCAGGATTCTTTAGGCGCTACATGGCTCGCAAAAAATGACAAATTTGTCTATAACTAAACAGATACCCTGTAGTAGCGCTGGGTCCTAACACATGACAATATGAGAAATAGACAATCCACGTTTAACACGGAGAAAATCCCAACGATGAAGAGGGCCGGAAGAATGAACTGACTTAATTGGAATTGACCTTATGGCATGGCTCGGCCATGCAGGCGTGATCTCTGCTGAATGTTACCTTTTATCTTTTATTCATATTAACTATATTGTTCTGTCTCCAGCCCAAGTTTGTTCTCTATCATGTATTGGTAATTGTTATGACGCAGTGAGTTGGTGTAAACGATGATGTGACTTCCACGTAAGGTCTTACAGATTAGGCAGTTATATCATGAAAAATCTACAATTATAGGATTAGGTCTATTATTAGAGGAGTACTATCGATAACTCTCAAACTCACTCACTCACTCAATCAATCAAGCAATCAATCATTCATCAACTCGTCACATTACTATCATAATGATCACACTGTTTGCGTGTGTGTCTGAGTGTTTTGGTGAGACAGGGAGTACGAGTATGATTGTCGACTGTATGGAGGGAGACACGACAGACCACGGAGGTGATTTGTCTCTGATCGCCTACGTCGGCGATTTATTCGTGGTGTCCGAGTAAAACGGTGCCTGTGACAGGGACGATTTTTGATGTATCTTCTGATAATAGTACAACTTTAGGTCATCATTTTCATGCTGACAGTGATACTTTCTGATTATTTCGAAAGTGAAATAGATAGTTGAGAGGGTAAAATGATGACTAGGAAGTCTGTGTTTTATGATCGGAGAAACATAAGTGATAAAGGATTCCGTTGACTGGTGAGATCAAAAGTGGATTGGTTCTAGTTAACCCATCGCGTTGTTTTGAGGCATAGTAAAATCTTTCAGACGTTGTCGCGAAAACTTTTAGATGTGTGCCCATCGCAACACAACCTTGGCGAAACACTTCTGCTTGCAGACCGTTTGACAGTTCAATGTGATGATGCGGTCGTTTCAAAAGGGCAGTGATTTTCTTACTTGTTGTGATTATACTTGCTTTGGATACTTATTGCACTAAAAAGCATTCTTGGTCTACTTTAACTTAAAGTACTTTGGTTAAAATTCGCAATTTTTTGCTAAATTTTGTCCTGAGTACCTTTTTTTACTCCTGACTAACACTTGTGTTCAAATTGTGATCATTTTGTGTTTTTTAAACCTTTTAAATCGAATTGCAGTGGTTGGTAAGACTCATAAATGTGGGCAACCAAATTGTTTGTTCCCCGTGGAGGAGGAAATGAAATGTGACGATTGTAAAAAGTGGTACCACAAAATGTGTACACGCCTAAGTCGGACGGCTTACAAAAGATGCCCGAAGCCTAACTCGCATTGGCTTTGTATGTTCTGCTGTACGGATAAAAAGGTACTAATTCAGGAGGCTGTGGACCTATTGGCTTTAGACTGCAAGAAAGACGATGGCGGAAGCAATGATAACAAAAGCACCGACGGAGAAGAATGTGTCAGTGTAGTAAGTGCTGCTACCGGACCCGTTAAACACCTGACTGTGGTTGACAGGGACGTGAAATCTCCGTTGACATTAACGAGGAATGAAGTGCCACTCGATATTGACATCGACAGTCATACACTTCTGGTCTAGGATCTAGGGGTGACAGTGAGTAATGATCTTAAGACGACGGCCCATTGCCGGGAGGTCGCAGCCAAGGGGTTTCGAACCCTCTAGGCTTTAAAAAGGACATTCACTAAGTTAGATACTACCATGTTCACCACAGTATACACATCCTTAGTGAGAACTAAGCTAGAGAACTGCGCTCAGGCTGCAAGCCCCTGTTTAAAAGGTGACTCGGACATACTAGAAAAAGTACAGAGGGCAGCTACCCGTGCAATTCCGGAACTCCGGGGTTTATCATACAAAGAGCGGCTTGAAAAACTGGACCTCTTTACTCTGTCCTATCGCAGACTAAAGGGAGATCTAATTTTGATGTACAGAATACTGAGAAATGATTTCGGACCTAACTTATTCTCTCTCTTTCTTCCCACTAGATCGGGACACCTCAGAGGACATAGCAGGCGAGTAGAAAAGCCAAGAATGAACAGAATACTCGTGGCATACAGGTTTTCACACCGCGTCATCAATACTTGGAACCTGCTGCCTGAAGCAGTGGTGTCCGCACCTTCAATTGACTCTTTCAAGAGAAGACTGAACACTCACAGAAGCATACTAGAAAAAGAATAGCATAAGCCGTAGGCCTTCTGTCCTTACTACACAAATCTGAATCTGAATCTTACCATCATTGATTGGTTGAACTCCTTTTTCAGGTAGCATTTTTACTGTTTCTAGGGTACAATGGCATCAATGTTAAACAGACTTGATGCGACCTACCAGTTTAGATCACTCGGTAATTACCGTACAAATAGTAGAAACTGAACGCTTATATCTGGTATTGAAAATTTGGTTCGTCGTATCAGGACTATTCCCCCAATTGATCGAGCTAGAATATAATTATTATTATTATTATCAGCTTTATTCAATTTTATATTTTTGGTACAATATATAATTCTCAGCGCAAAGTATTTGAACAAGTCTTTGTTTCCTTCTTCTTGGTCGGTCCTGACGATAAGTATTGAGTGATCGCCAGTTAGATGTTAGCAGTTCACTAAATGAACATCTGAATAATGTACATTCTTTTCGTTGCATATTACCAGCAACCACATTGTCTCTTATTGAGTTTTTTGTAACTTTGACAACGAAAGGTTGTACACTTTTCAGAAACGCGGCAGAATAGGTTATGCGATTAATAAACATAATCGTATATTAAAACAAACAAAAATACATAACTTATTGAAATGTCTAGATGGCAGGAACAGGTAACCCAGATGCCCAAGCAGGCTGCGATTCAGACTTACATACTTTCGTCTGTTGCAATTCGTAGAGGAGAATAGGTCGCTCACCGGCATTCTGCATCGCACTCTGTCCAGATTAATTCTTTTCAGTTGTTTCTAGTTTTATTCATTTTTTGTTGCAGAGGATATGGGATTTTTAGTCGGATGCCATTTGAAGTATGTTCAGTCCAAAAATATCAAATAATCCAAAGTAGAACTAAAAGTTCGTGAGTAGGATAAAGAAAAAGTTGACAAGGTTAATCTTGGAAATACTTATGAAGATGCTTTTGTCGCAACCGATTTTGCCATTACTGTTGGTGTCAACAATAAGTTGACTGTCCGACAATGTGATTGTTACCAAATCTGGCAACATAACTGTTGTAAAACAAACTTATGGATGAAGCTGAGATTACTGAACTGATCTTCTAGAAGGAGAGAGTGAAACGTTAATTGTGCCTATAGTTGACCCATTACCTTTAGTCAAGTTGTCTGTAAAATTTGATCCAGGAATTATTTCGAGTTCTTGTCAAGCTGTTTAGTTTGGTGAGATGTTTACTTATGGAAACCCGATATAATTTTTTTCTTTGGAGAGCGTTACTAAACACACTAAGCTATATAAGTAAATTGTAAGAGAAGGACAGACTACAAATTGAATGTTGTATGGAATAACCTTGAGGTCCGGTAGCGGTTTCAACCCATCGCGTCATCAGTCTATAACATGTGTTCACGGAGTTCCTGATGGATTATTAATCACAGAACAGCTGTAGTATGGGTAATGAAGACAGGATTAAAATAACTAACCATGGATCACGTTTGGTTTTGTGAATACTGCTCCTCAGCTGAAGGGAATGAAAGTAGAAAGCTTTTCTCAACACAGAGAGACTTCGTTAATCATATCCGAGCACACCATTTAGTTCGCAAGTTTAGAAATGATGTGGAAACGTTTATCTGCCGGTGAGCTCAGTTGGTTTTATATGTTAAAATAATTTCATGTTCAGTCAACACTTGTTTCCATGTCAATTTAAATTTGTGTGTAAGGTTAGCGAGAAGCAAGCGGGATTAGGTGCTTATCATAGAGCAAGAAGGTTCCTCCAACATTATTTTGAAGTATGATAAACACAACACTTCTTTGCACGACACCTTAAGGTATTTATACAATTGTATAGGAAGCTGCTTCACAAACATGTATCGTGATAAAACTCCCTACGTTGACCAATCAGGTTATACTATTTATTCTATTTACTGCTCACAAACCGAAATCAATATGTAATCCTGTTTCTGTTTCAAGGGAATCTCAAATACCAATTGGATTGTTACAAATATCATAGCTCACTTACTTGGATTACTTATTCACAGTAATACTTCAAGCTATTAAGGAAGTAGAAAATCGCAATGTGAAGAATTGCTCAACGAGTAAGTTTACTTGATATCTAACAGGAGTCACGCCACAGACTTTGCGAGGGTTATATGTGGTGTGCTACTTGAGAGGTTAACAAAAATCATGGACTGAATCGGTCAGGAAAGAACTCATAAACTTGAGAATGATTATTTCACTTGGTCGACCAGTCAATCTTATGTAATATAGAACCTAGTACATTAGCTCAGGTTATCATCCCATGTTAGCACAGAGAGATTAAGCTTTTCCAAGACAAATTCCAGAGCACTAGTATTAACGATTATTTCCTCGTCTCTTTCCACCTGAACACTTGTTTAATCTTATGGTCATATGAAACACTTAACGCGTGAGAACGCTACTTATCCATCTCTGATAAACATGTACCGTGAAAGATAAACGTCTAAATTGCCGACTCGCATACGAAACACGTTTCGCATACAAAAATGTTAAAGGGTAATGTGAGAACTAAATAAACACCCAGGTGGTACTTTTGCCTAACAAGTTTAACTGTGTTGTAAGTTCTTTAAACCGCCAAGATTTGATATGAATGGTTGTAATACATTCTAATAATACGAAGAACAACATAATTTTATCCTTAGCTACGATTTTATTATATGGTAAGACGGTTTCATACACATTGGACTACACTTTGTCAATTAAATGTCGTTCAGTATGCAGTTGGTCATAACCAACGTATAAACGGTCACAATTGTGCACCAATCCAAGTTTTTAATAGTTGTTTCCGCTAACAAATTGCGGATTGTCTTAGATTCTTGTTTAGTCAGTTGTCCAGTTATCACTATTATTGATTTATTTATTTGGACACAAATATTGGTACAAAGGGGTACCGAATACATATGCACCATACAAGTCACTTTATTTATGTGTGGGTCGTGATGGTTCCCGGGTGTCCAGACCGAAACAGACGGTTTTCTTAGGGGGCCACGCCCAGAGCCTTCGACCTAAAGGTCTGATCTACAAGGTAGTGGATCAGCGTCAAGAGATGCAGTCGCATGTTAGCCAACAGTTAGTTTATACGCCATTTGTTCCCTCAGGATCTTGGAGCTCATGTGCATCATTGGTTTGGAATCAGAGCTTTCTAACTTCCCTAAGTGGATTCTCCAGTTATTGCTAAAAATCTCAAAAGGGCATAAAATTGTTGGCAAACGTGTCTTGGTTTCATGTTGTCAAGATTTATTACCAATTCATTAAGTCTTACAGACTCTGTTTAGAGAAAATATACAACTGACCACCTCAAATCAACAGGCAATAATCTACTGAATTGATCCCATCCTGTTTCACTCCACCCCCTTGACTTCTTTTTTCTTAATCACACTGCACTTTTTCTCGTAACCGTGTTTTAGCCCCATCTACCACACCACATTAGCACGACGAGATGAAGTTAACATGATAAATAACAAAGTAATCAAAATAATGTAATGACCATGTCAGTGATAAAGACTAAGAAGACTATAGTTCAAAAAGACAGGAAAGGTATTTATGAAGGATTATTGGAGTTCAGTATCTAGAGGAAGATAAGTAATAAGTGTAGCTGCTTCGTCGTGGTTGATTCTGAACCGGCCCCCCGAATGCCCTGGTACGGCCGAGAGTGGGGAGAGTCCGCTCTCCCTCTCGAAATACTCTCACACGGCCACGCGTATACAGCCTCTGCCAGGGAAGTCCTACTCATTGCCTTCTCGTGGCGGGGGTGTTGTTTACGAAAATGAGAGGACGAAAAGCGAATGTCCGGCGCTTTAACCGGATTCCAAACCAATGGTGCACATGGGCTCCAGTATCCTGCGGGAACAAATGGCGTATGAACCAATCATTGGTCACCGGCTACCATGGGATTGCATCTCCTTACGATGCTCCACTGCCTTGTGGGTTAGACCTTTAGGTCAAAGGCTCAGGGTGTGGCCCCCTAAGATAATCACCTGCTTCGGTTTGGGCACCCGAGCGGTATCACAGCCCACACACAAATGATGAACTCTCTATGTCTATGGAAATTACTCTTCTCGCTTCGAAAAACAATCAATTGATTCGAATTATTATCATTACAATTATTGTCATTATTAATACTATTATTATTATTACTATTATTGTCATTATTATTATTATTATTATTATTATTATTATTATTATTATTATTATTTTCCACATTATTCACCCTCTTTTATACTTATACAGCGGCTCGTCTTTGGTGGAAATTCGACTGTATCTAAACGTTCTCGAGTCACTGTCCGGTTGAAAATTGTATGTTACCACCGAATATGAGTACTGAAGCAGTTTTTCTGAAACACAGGCATGCTTATTGGTGTCTGACAATTATGGTTTTCCTTGACTTAAAAGTAGCATTTGACTCGGTAGACCGCGAGATTCTGTGGCAGTTTGTCTTTGTAAGGTGTACTTCGGAAATACATAAACCTTGTGAGGGCTCTTTGCTCTAATGCTACTAGTCGAGTGAAAAATTATGGCGAACTGTCTTCTGCTCCTACAACTTCAAGTAGTATCCGGCAAGGCTGTCCACTTTTTCCATTTTTGTTCAACTTCATCATAGACCTACTGCTGGAAATAACGTTCTCGTCGACTAAATTTTCGGGGATTGATCTCCTACCAGGAGGTCCACTTATCGACTTAGGATACGCCGATGACATATTCCTGTTTGGCGAAGACGCTGATGAAATGCAGAGCCTTTTGGTAGCACTGAGTAACAATACCAAGATGTTTGGGATGCATTTCCCGCTCTCTAAATCCATGTTGTTGCTTCACGACTGGCCTGCGTCAACACCTGAACTAAGGATAGGGAATGAGATATATGAACGCGTCGACAACTTCACTTATCTCGGGTCTGATCAGCCCTAACGGGTTGGTGTCTGACGAAATCTCAGCACAGATTCGAAAAGCTCTTTTGGCTTTTGCCAACTTACGTTACGTATGGCGAAGGCGAGATATCCGTCTATCAATTAAACGACAAGTATATTTTATTTATTTAGTTGAACACGTAAATATTGGTACAAAGGGGCACCAGATACACATGCGTCACCCAATAACAATGAGAATGTGAAGAGATAAGGAATGTAGGGTGTGTATGAGAAAAATGGGAACAGTAACGAACAGAAATTAGTGTATGATAGTGAAATAATAATAATGGGACAGCTCAATTAGCAAAAGTACAGCCAGAGAGATTTCTTCCAGTTAAGGAAGTTACGTCCGATTTTCATGAAGTAAAATAAAGTTACAGCAGGACCGCCGCTGGTTTCTGTTCTGGGCCATATCTGATAGCGCCTCTAGCCACTGTGTTGCACCATTTCTAGGACCTCAACTAGGGAGTCAGGAGGGACCAACAGAAGCCAGTCCTGTACAGCTTTCTTTCATACCACGACAATATGTCATACACTGACCACCTCTCCGCTTTTTCCAACCAGTCCCAGCGACGGCAAGTAATGCATAATGTGGAATTCTCTGGGATGACATTCGTGATACATATCCAAGCGACTGAATTCGATTTTTCAAGATGGGGACACCAATTAAATAATCTTTGCTGTGCCTGAATACACGTTGCCGAAGCTCTGCATTACTAACATGGTGTTGCCACTGGATATCAGCAATCCATCGGAGACAACAATGATCAAACACAAAGAGTCGTCTAATATCCTCAATCTCGAATAGGCCAGTTCTCACAAGTATAGAGCAAGACTGCTCTCACCAACGCGTCGTAGATCTGACCTTTTACAGCCAGACTAACATCACGAAGGCTCCAAAGGTGGCCCAGATTGGTATAAGCCGTTCTGGCTTTCACTATACGTGAATCGATCTCATCACTCACGCCACCACCAGCACTTATGCAGGTACCCAGGAGTGAGTGCATGATCAGGGTCCTGTGAGTCTTGTAAAAGTACTTTGCACTTAGAAGGTATAAAGCACATGTCATACTTACGGACACTAATGTCAACAGGCTAAGTGCGGATTGCATGGCTTACATATCATCGCACAGTAAGACAATATCATCCGCATATTCAGGGTCGAGAGGGAGGTTGATTATGAATACAGTGGTCTTGAGTGCTGTTAGAGGTATGAGGGTGGTTATCATTTCCCGGTAGCCCACATCGTGGAAGGGTTTTTCTGGAGGTACTTGAAAAGGAAATTGGATTAGAGATGGTCTTAGTGACCTGGAAGCCTGACCGCAGTGTCCAAGGGACAACTGTTTGAGGTCGGTCACACACTACCTTTTTGTGAGTAATCTTTGTGTTAGCTCCGTACTTGTTGAGACCTTACCGCCGGAGACGGACGTCCGTGGGATAAGGTGGTGTGCATTTTTAGGGTCGACCTTTTCTAACCCCACCCCTTCTTGTGGGAAGGCAGAATCGCTATCATGCTGGTTGTCTGAAGGGAACACCTTACTGCTGTCACACCTCTGTACAGTCAGCAGTACGACTTTGCCTTCGGACCTTGGGTTTGTTGTTTTTAGTCTTACCGCTCTTCAACCGACCTGTCTGACATGGTAGGACCTTGAGGAACGGTTGTTCCAGCCAGTATAGCTCGGTTGCTTCATCACGATAGGCAAGTCCGACCACCACGTCGAGGTAGCGACAACGGTCGGGAAATGTATACAATAAGAGAAGTCCTCCGGGCAACAGATTCACACCGCCACTACTTATACACATCAGCGCTGTCTCCAGAACGTCGTCGACAGCAAGGTTGAAGAGGAATGGTGAGATTAGGCAACCCTGTCTAACCCCACTGTTTGAATAGAACAATAGAGAGCAGTGGTTGTATGCCCTCACTCTGCCTGAGGTGTTTTTATATAGGGCTGTTAAGATGTTCATAAACTTCTCAGGCACACCCTTCTTCAATAGACAATCCCAGAGAACAGTCCTATCCAACGAATCGAAGGCAGCCCTGATGTCAAGAAACACTACGATTGTTGGCCTTTGAATAGTATGGCGGTGTTCTAACATTTGGCGGAGGGTGAAGATATGATCAATACATCCTCGACCAGAACGAAACCCAGCCTGCTCCTCGCGAGTCAATCTTTCTCGGGTTTTGAACAACCTACGAAGAATGACGGAAGCCAATAGCTTGGACGCAATCGGAAGTAAACTTATCCCCCGATATAAATAAATTGTTCCGTTATACTATTTAAACTTGGATTAATTTTAATTTGGTTATTTATTCTCTGAAGAAGTGACTTACACTAAGCCACGAAACGTCAGAAAATCCAATTTTCTACTCATTGGGATATTACAAATATATTATTTTTATTTATAACAATCAACCCAATGCTCAATTTATTCGAAATTATCAAATCAAACCTTGGTAATGACACCTACTTATCCCCCGATAGTTGTTACAGGAACGACGTGAACCCTTTTTAAAGATAGGGACAACTATCGACTCATTCCATGACGTTGGTACACTCTCTAGTTCCCAAACCTTTGTAAACAGCGTCGTCAATTCCTTAGTCAGAAAGTCACCACCATCTTTAAAAAGAGCCGAAGGTAAGTCATCTGGGCCAGGTGATTTGTAACGCTTCAAGAGTTGGAGTTCCTTGCGGACTTCCTCCTCGTGTGGTGGATCAGTCGTCACCGGCCATGGAGGGCAGGACAGTTTGACCGATGTTGCCGGAGCAGCAGGCCAGTTGAACTGCCCTTCGAAAAATTCTGCCCATCGTCCAAGACGTCGATGGATGTTAGTGATTGGCATCCCATCATCCTCGCAGATTGTTTCACTCACACCAGACTTCTTGCTGCCAGTGGCTCGGATGAGCTGGAAGAGCTTCCGGTAGTTACCAGATGCAGCTGCTGCTTCCAGCTCATCAGCACGCTCCGACCACCCGGCTTCTCGGTCCTTACGCAAGCTTTGCCCAATTTCCTTACGTAACATCCTTCGTTTATGGTCAAACTCACGGTCACCCGGAGTAGACCGACGGGCTTCAATGAGTTGTAAGGAACCAGAAGAAACCCAGTGCTTAAAAGCGGGACGTTTCGCAAACCCACAACTGACTGTTCCCGCCATTTTCATGGCGTCATGCAATTGCAACCAATGCTCATCTATACTTTTCGGTGGAGTGGTAGCTAGCCTAGAGGCTAGCTCGGTTCGATACTTACTTGCAACAGAAGTTGCAACCAGCTTGCTAATATCAATCCGTTGATGGCGGTCACTTCGTTGTCCACTGAAAAGTAAGGCAAGATTGGCGCAGACCAAGGGATGGTCAGAGTCCAGATAGGTACTCTAAAAGGACTCTAAAAGACTTTCCAAAGACATAGCCAGCCCTATCTGTTGTCCAACCTGCATAAGTGTGCGAACGTTGAAGGCAGACAGTTTGAATGGCGCACGTGGTTTCAGAAAAACTGCTTCAGTACTCATATTCGGTGGTAACATACAATTTTCAACCGGACAGTGACTCGAGAACGTTTAGATACAGTCGAATTTCCACCAAAGACGAGCCGCTGTATAAGTATAAAAGAGGGTGAATAATGTGGAAAATAATAATAATAATAATAATAATAATAATAATAATAATAATGACAATAATAGTAATAATAATAATAGTATTAATAATGACAATAATTGTAATGATAATAATTCGAATCAATTGATTGTTTTTCGAAGCGAGAAGAGTAATTTCCATAGACATAGAGAGTTCATCATTTGTGTGTGGGCTGTGATACCGCTCGGGTGCCCAAACCGAAGCAGGTGATTATCTTAGGGGGCCACACCCTGAGCCTTTGACCTAAAGGTCTAACCCACAAGGCAGTGGAGCATCGTAAGGAGATGCAATCCCATGGTAGCCGGTGACCAATGATTGGTTCATACGCCATTTGTTCCCGCAGGATACTGGAGCCCATGTGCACCATTGGTTTGGAATCCGGTTAAAGCGCCGGACATTCGCTTTTCGTCCTCTCATTTTCGTAAACAACACCCCCGCCACGAGAAGGCAATGAGTAGGACTTCCCTGGCAGAGGCTGTATACGCGTGGCCGTGTGAGAGTATTTCGAGAGGGAGAGCGGACTCTCCCCACTCTCGGCCGTACCAGGGCATTCGGGGGCATTTCAAAAGAAAAGTGGCTGTTATTACTATTTGGGATGTAGGTACACAATATGCATACAGTATACTGTAGTTTCTACTGGCAACATCGCTGATTTTCCTATTTGCATTGTAATTAGACAAGCATTTTCACAAACTATATACTAAAATGTCTAATGATATGAGCTTTGCTCTACCTTTAATTGTGGAATCCAGGTAGTTTGACTATCTCATAGGAAACCGAGTACAGAAGTCTATGTATTCACTAGTATATACATATATAAACTCTGATACGTGGTACTTATGCATAATGTCATAAGAGTTATTGGTCATCAATTTGTCAATTTGTTTCGGATTTTATTCAAGTAAAAGGACTAAATCTTGCTGTAATAAACTAAAGTCCTCTAATGGAGTGGTGGCTCTGTAGTTAAAGCACGCTTTATTCAACTAGTAGATTTCCGATTCGAATCCCTCTTTATCTACTTCAGTTTAGGGCAGTCGAACAGTTACTTAAAAAAGTATATGAACTTGTACAAAGAAAATTGATTGGTAATACCTAAACCTATTTCTCGAACCTTAATTTGAGATTAATATTAACTACAGCCTAATACCAACTATATAATCGTCAAAGTATTAGACACGGAAAAAGTATTTTGTCCTAGTTGATTACTCAAAATTAAACACCATTGCCCTCAAAAGGAATCAAGTTTTCTGATCTCTTGAGGACTATAAAATCATTGATCCACTTAACTTAATTCAAGTAACCATCATTCAATGCCATTAATAGTTAATTACCTTACATTAAATTTTACTGGCTTCACTGACTAAAATTCCATCTTGGATATTGTCACTGGTAGCCACCATGCTTTCGTTTAATAAAAGGGTTTTCTAAAAAAATCGTTCCAGTTTGGTCAAGCTAACAGTGTCACAGCCCTTACACAAACCGTGATTTGAAATATAGAATGCAGATAATTAGCTCCGGAAACTCACAAGCTTTTCGTAACTACAAACAAGATTACTGTGAACTATATCACTGCCCAATTTTATTTTTTTGCCTTAATTTTATTATTCACCTTATTCAACTCACCTGAAAGTCCTGACTTGTTTGATCGCTTTCTTAAATTTTCCATCAGCGTTAAATCATAAGGTGTTTTACGTATTTAATGTGATAGTCAGTCAGTCACAAAGTAGAATCTGTACGTATGTACATTGGTTCGAGTTTCCATACGCCATTACAACTGAGATGAATTTGTCAGGTCAAATCCTGGAATAGTGTAGGTAATAAAAGTATCAGTGGCAAGAGAGAAGATTAAGCATCAAAGATACGACGCGAAAAGAAAATATACCTTAACAAAGTAAAAACAAAAAAACCCTCTGAGGAATTTAGAATCTTAGGATTTAGGGGAATACAAATAATGGATACACCTGCGCCATTGCAAACAATTTTGAGCCATTCTATTCAAAGTCTCTAACTATTGGTTGCGATAACTACTAATCCCAACCAGGTAGTCTGTACCCATGAAAATAGCTAAGTCCAATTGTCAATGACTTCATGGACAAACGCTATGTTTTGGTTTGACCGCCCCTAGCTTCAACCTGCTCTTGCACCAGAAAACATCGCCCGACCTAATATGATGGATTTCTTGTGTTCCAGTTAACGTCACAGATGAGATGACACTGAGCCACTCATTTGGAACATTTTTTGCTTCAATAATATTAACTGGTTTTCAGATAGTAAACTAATCACTGATAGGAACTTTATTATGTTTATCCACTGAAGACTAATTAAATTCACTACCTGTTCAGTATGTTATATATACAAATATGCAAGATATAAGGCGTTTGCTACCAGAATATTCAACAATAAATGATATTTACATAGTGTTGTACGATTCTCTGTTTATGGTTGGAATTCATCGTTGTTTCTTCCGTGATCTTTTAAACTAAGCTAGTAATCTATTTTCTGTTGATATCAGCTGATTTGTTTTTATAACTGTTTCAGGTATGGCCCGAATAATTCGTGTCTTCTATCCAATGGTCTAGATAGTGTTGAGAAGAGTCATTCATCTCGTGATTCCTTATTTAAAAGTCAGCGTGACTATGAAAGACATTTAGTTGGGTTTCATCTTCTAAAACATCCTGTATACAAACATCCGGATGTAAAATCTCCGCTTCCAATACCTCCCATTTCTTCCCACTATAATGGTAAATTTGTTTCATCAACTGTAAATGTTATTTCAGGGTTCTTTATTTATTCCTTCTTTGTTTTATTCTCAAAAGATGATTATATTTTTAAAACCACTTCGTCAGATTTACAGTGAAGACCAGTTAATGGGTTTCTAATTAAGAGTAATACAATACGCTCATAACGAAACATACATTCAACTAGACGACCTCCATTTATGAAGTTATCTCAAATATTCTAGCTTTCAGAATACGGTTAATTAAATAATGCTGTTTTTATACAATCCAAGGATGATAGTTTCGTACACACAGGAAGCAACTTTCATCTAACAATCCAGCAATCATTAGTTTTAAGTGGATTTTATCTTTTTTCTTATAAACTATTACGTAAACCAGAAGTTTGGTTTATAAACATTTCTGTTATGTTTATAATTTGCGTTCAAACTCATGTATGTGTAAACCTTTTGCTCATTTCACTTACAAATCTCAATGAGCTGTCTCGTACTTTTTAGATTAATTTGTTCTAATATTTAATATCTCTACAATCAAAATTGTGCTTATTTTGGTCAATTTATCGTCCGCTTAGTAATCCCACGTCAGCATATCAATGATTTCTACAAATTTCTAGGCCGTAATCTCACATAAGTTTTACAATAGAATGACTGTATCTTCATAACTTCTCTAGTAAAACCACTAAGTAAAAAGTCATGACAATTTAAATTTACACATTTAAAACTAACCGTGACAGTTCATCAGATATAAGAAATAATAGAAAAATCAACCAACACAGTAAATGATCTTTTGATGTCAAAACAAAGGATATTCATTTTAACCCAGGTACAGATGATAACAGTAAAATTCTCAACGAAATTTTCAGAAAATCTTCAGGAATAAATAAAATAATCAAAGTTTGAATAAATCATGTAGTGATTACCACATCTCACTATCCATTCAATGAGAAGTCACACTTACATTTCTGGAATTACCATGTGTTAGCTTAATTTATCTGTTAGGTTTCACTGAAAACCATATCTAGACTGATGTTAAAACTTTGCACATATTAAAAATCAGGTTAGTAACTACCACTGTATATATAATCTGTTTAAAGGGCTAATAGTATAAGCGATCAGTGCGTTGGCGTTTTGACTACTTTAATATGTTTTTTTCTCTCTTCTGTACCAGAGAAACCATCACGCAAATGGAGTGTATACCAATCAGTTGTGAATTTACCAGCTGTTTTAAATGATCCAAATTATCGTGAGGTAAATTTTTTAAATGGTTGTTCAAAAAATTGGGATTTGTATTAAGTTCTATTGGTTTTATTGATTTTCCAATCACTCGTGAGAGTTGAATTAAGTACAATTTATGGTGTAATTTTTTCAGGTCACCACTGTTGGTTAATAAGATTTGTCCAGAAAAATGACCGATCGGTATAGTTTATTTCTTTAAGCTTCATAAAATGTGCATCATTTGAAATAATCACAACACAGAAAATATATGCAAAGTATAATGCTAATCAGAAAAAGGGTAACTACTGTCTAAACTAAATTTTAAACGTTTCCAATCCTTTTTCGGAAATGATGAAAAGATTTGTAGCTCATATGAATACTTTCAGTGTTGTGGAGTTGTCTGAGATAGATAGTTTGACTGTGGACCTTTCACTGTCGATCTGAACAACATCAGGGGCTACTTCATTTACAAGTGAGCTTCTTATTTATTCCAGAAGTGTTGAATCAGTTCTTTATGATGGTCTTGTTTGCGACTAGTTATCTCCGTAGGTTTCGTTGTCTTCATTTGTCCGTGTATTTTCGTCAGCTGTCTTGTTTCGTCAACCTCTGACTATGCTGTTGATTTAAGTTTATCGTATGGATTGATAGTTCGGATCTATATCGATGTATCTGTCGACTTCCAATTGACCTGGATCCCATATGTATAAAAACCCACTGGGATTCTGGGAATCCTTTCAATCCTAAATTCCAACATTTTCTAAGTAAAATTCATTTATTCTATTTTAACACATAAACATTGGTACAAGGGGGCACCAAATACATGTACGCCACACAATAACAATGAGATTGAAGTAACAGAGAATGTCAAGTGCGCATAATAAAAAAAAGGATAACGGACAGAAATTAGTGTATGAGAGTGAAATAATAATGGGAGAAACAGTTCAGTTAGGAAAAATACAACCAGAAAGCAGTTGCGTTCATTTTTATGAAGAAATTTACAGCGGGGCCGTCACTGTCTTCTATTCTGAGCCATGTCTGATAAAGTCTCCAGCCACTATGTTGCACGATCTCTATGACGCCAACCATGGAGTCGTGAGGGACCAAGAGAAGCCAGTCCTGTACAGCTTTCTTTCATACCACGACACCATGTCATACACTGACTATCTCGACGCTTTTTCCAACCGGCCCGAGCGTCGGCAAATAATTCACGATGTGGAGGAACAGAGTCCTGTCAGTTTTATGAAAGTACTTTGCACTTGGAAGGTACAAAGCACATGCCATACATACGGAAACTGATTGCCAACTGGCTGAGTGCGGATTGCATGGCTTGGGTATCATCGCACAGTAAGACAATATCATTCGCATACTCCATGTCGAAAAGTCTTTCTCCAGACGACAGATCCGCACCACCATTACCTACATCCACCAGAGCTGTTTTCAGAACGTCATTGATGGCGAAGTTGAGGAGGAATGGTGAGGTTGGGAAACCCTGCTCATCGATATCAGTAGCATACACCACAGCATCACTAATGCCAAGAAGCAGTACGGTAGTTGACCTGTGGTAAGTATGATGGTGTTTTAACACTTGTCGGCGGGTGGAGATATGATCAATACATCCTCGATCAGAACAAATGCCATCCTGCTCCTCGCGAGTCAATCTTTCTCGGGTTTTGAACAATCTACTAAATATGACGTAAGTCAATAGTTTGGACGCGATCGGAAGTAGACTTGTCCTCTTTTGGTTTTTGCAGAAACGATGTGAACCCTTTCTAAAGATAGGAACAACTATCGACTCATTGCATGATGTTGAAACACCCTCTAATTGCCAGCCCTTTGTAAACAACTCAGTCATTTTCTTAACCAGAAGGACGCCACGACCCTTAAAAAGGGCCAGAGCAAGTCATATGGGCCTGTTGATTTGTAGCGCTTGAAGAGTTGAAGTTTCTTTATAGACTTCCATCTTGTTCAGTGGACCAGTCATCAAAGGCCATGGAGAGCAGGACAGTCAGATCGATGTTGCCGGGGCAGCGAACCGGTTGAACTGCTCCTCGAAAAACTCTGCCCATCATCCGAGATGTCGGTAGATTTTAGTGAATGGCATCTTGTCATCTTTACAGGTTGTTTTACTCACTCCAGACTTGTCGCTGCCAGTGACTCGGATGAGTTGAGAGATCTTCCAGCAGTAACCAGATGCAGCTACTGCTTCCAACTCGTTGGCATGCTCCGACCACTGTGCTTCTCGGTCCTTTCGCAAGGTTCGCACGATTTTACCACGTAAAAGTCTTCGTCTGTGGTTAAACTCGTTGTCATTCTGAGTAGGCCGACGAACTTCAGTGAGTTGTAAGTAGCCTGAAGAAACCCAGTGCCTATAAGCGGGACGTTTCGCGAAGCGTCATGCGACTTTACTCGCCATTTTCATGGTGTCATGCAATTGCGACCACTGCTCATCCATACATTTCAGTGGGCTGGTAGCTAGCCTTGAACCTAGCTCTGTTTGATATTTCGTTGCAACAGCAGCTGCAACCAATTTGCTGAGATCGATCCGTTTCGGACGATGAATTTGTTGGCCACTGGAATGTGAGGTAAGATTAGCGCAAAGAAGAGCATGATTAGAGTTGAGATAGGTACTCCAAAAAGGAGCAGTAGTCTTGTACACAACCACGGCAGGTGTATATGATGGCGATGTGATCAATTTGAGTTCAGGTTTGTGATGCAGAGGTAGGATGCTGGGTAGCACATCGGCGATTACTGTGTCAGTAGTGCGAGCTAGCCAGAAACAGATAGTAGTCTGCGTACAGTTGCAGTAGGCAGTCAGGGCTATCTGACTTATGGCCAACAAGTCCCCATATGCCATCTAAACGGTTCTCTTTTGTGCCTAGATGCCCGACCTGAGCATTCAGTTCTCCGGCTAGTACTACGGTGTTTATTGAACATACTTTGTGGAGAACATTTGACCAATGGAAGGACTCATCCTTGATTGCATCCGGCCTGCAATCTTCTGGGCTGTAGGCGATAACGAAGCGGCATTATTTGTCAAACTGGTTTCTTTTTAATTTGATGGAACTTTCTATTTTAACAGCACATAATCGATTGTTAATGGGGATGTAACCAATTAGTGTTGCTCCAGGTCTAGTGCTTAGAGCGACACCAACGCCAGCGAAACCAGACGAGAATGCCACAGGGTTCTAGGATAAATGCATGTAAAACAGGCTCTTTAAATCGATATTTGTTTATTTAAACACATAAACATTGATACAAGGAAGCACCAGATAGATATGCGCCACATAAATCATTCGATTAGTGTGAGGGCTGTTATATTACCCGGGTGCCCAAACCGACGCAGGTTTTAAGGCGATAGATGGAGAGAGATTTTGTAGTACTTCACTAGAGTCTTGAATACGGCTCTCGGATAGGAACCTGCCATCGATATTAAGATTTTCTAAAGAAATAGTCAACCCTATTTGTCGTTCGATATGCATTAATGTTCGAACGTTGAGGTATACCAGTTTGAATTGTACACGTGGTTTCAGAAAGACTGTTTCAGTATTCGTAGTCTGTGGTAGCATTCAGTTTTCTATCAGCCAGTGACTTGAGATTGTTCAGATTAGGACAGGGTTTCTACCATAGGCGGACTGTTGTATAAGTTGAAAAATAAAATACGAGAAATGAGAATAAAGGGGAGTACATAAGTGGCTTAGTATAAAGGAAATAAAAAGGAATCTTTTCGTATAATCGTGAATGAGGTTTGTCTGAGCGAGCGTTGAAGCAAGAGAAGTTTTTCCACTAGTAGTTATCATTGATTTGTATGAGGGATGTGATACTGCCCATTTTTTATGATGGTGATTCTTGCGGCCGAAAACCATCTGGCACTAAAGTTGGTGCTTCTCTAATCCATTCCCAGTTGTTCTCTGTAATAGTTTACTCTTCGTTGAACAGATCTTGTAAGGTTTTGAACCTGTTGCTGATAGCTCTCTTGTATCCGCTGGTTTTGTAATTATCTCGAAGGAATGCTATATTGAACCTTTGTAATGCCGTTTCTCCAGTTATCCACTGCTTTTTAAGCTTCAGTTTTATCTTGACCACTACCAAGTGGTGATCTGAAGCTATGTCAGCTACTCTCTTTTTTCTCACGTCTTCTATTGAATACTAAACATTTGAGTAATGCAAATTTGATCGATCTGCTTCTCTGTATTGCTATCCTGTAAGACTCATATAGTATTGTGTATGCGTACCTTCAAACCAAATTAACTTTCGAAAAATCAATTTCTTAGTATCATCATAATTATTAATTGTTTGAACTTAATTATATTATTCATTTCTCTGATGAGCATTTATCACATGATATACATTCTAAACTCCATAAAATGTGTTTTCCACACTATTCGCCTGCTTATATATACTCAACTTGAAATATAACATGAGCAAAGTGGTTTGTGAAAATCTATTTCATATGTGTATATTTTACTTTCTACTTTATCTAGAAAAAAAAATGAACAAATTCTAATTGCTTACCGTCCTTTTATGTCTAAGTGCATGATTTTCAGAGAGATTTAACAAAAATTACTGGAAACAGTTTGTCTTGAATGAAATTTGCTATCTATAAACATAGGTGTTAATCTAAAACTACACGTTCAGTGAGATTAGGCTTTTATTTATTTTCATTGCGTGTAAAGTAAAGATTCTTTTTTCAGTCACTCATTCTTTGCTTTCTTAATCATAAACGATTGAGAATTTGTCAGTTCAAGCTCTCGTATTTCATGGCAGTTAACACAGCTAGGAATGCGACAAAGGTATGCAGTTTGAGATCTTACAGAGGTATCGATACACTTCATTGATGAGCTCCGACTATAGTCTATGTTATGACTTTAAGTTGGGTCGATTTTTACCCTGTGCTAATTGTTGTGTCCTTGACTGGAAAAATTAGAGAGCAGCGTATTTATCGATCGATTCAATGACACGTAAACACGTACGGACGGCCTAGAGTCTCGATTGGTCTCGCTTCCTTGTCCTAGCCCAGTCAGTTGAGTCCAGAACACAAGTCACAATCTCTGAGATATGAATCATTGTATTCCAGACATACTCTATTTATATACTAACCAAACATACCACATCGTACCATCAAAATAGAAAACAAGATTTGTACAACATTTAACGGATGAAGTAAATAATGGCCAATAGGAAATGTCCATTTAACGTCCAAGGACATCACTAGGCTTAACATGATAATGATTGGCACATTATTCTGCATCCATAACAGTCTAAAAAATGATATCAATGTTAATCTTAATCTATACGTATTAAAAGTATTTCAGAATGTAAGAATGTAGTTAGCTGATACAAAGTTTGTAATAATGCTGAGCTGAGTCATTAGAGAAAGATAAAGACTCTAGATAAGTATGCTATATGATTGCGAATGTTTATTTATGAAGCTGCTTGTAGTGTAGTTTGTCTTAAAGTGTTAACTCTCCACATACTCACTTTTTTTGTGGTGGACTTATTGACTGCATATTTGACGAATTGGAATTTTTAAGACAGTATATATATACTGTTTATTTGTGCCTTTAAATCTTTAGTTAGATAATTAGTTGTCAGCACATAAAATGATCAATCAAGTCTCGTTTCATGTTGTTGTGTAGTAAATGAAAACTGAGGTTCGATAAACTAATTTATTGTTCTATTCATAAACACATGGTGCCTTTATAAAATATGAAAATCATACATTAAATATGTCATTTTCACATTTCTCTTGAGTTGTCCTTTACATATTTCATCAACTTCTCACTGCTGTTGTTATATATTGTATAGAAGAAATATTTTATTAGTTATCTTTTTTAAATTATACATAATTACGGGTTAATTTATTTCCAATTTTTAAACATATTTGTCATTTTTATTCTATAATTATCAGAAAGATATATTTACAAAATTATGGGGTGATAAATTTGAAAATGCTGAAGTTCTACCCAGTCCACATCTACCAGTAATTACAGAGAAACATTTTATAGAATATTTAAACAAAATTGGGGTTCGTAAACTCGATACAGAGTCTTGTAGATCATCGCCTAATTGTCAAATTAATTCATCTAATTCAATCACTGATATTTCTCTATCAGTGAAATTATGCAATAAAGGTGTGTAATATTTTTTACAATAAATGTTTCTGATATACTCATTGAAGGTTGTTTAATTACGAATAAATTAAATAAATATTGTCTATTCCTTGTACTTATCAAGGAGTCACGTGTTATTTTATGATTTACCGAGTCAGTTGTGATTCTGTGAATGCTACTATTGTACAACGTATTTACTGTCGAAGTATCAACATGTATTCTCAATCTATTTGAAAATGATTATCGAAACGATGATTATTTACTTTCACAGTGATTGTGCGGCTTGCCACAAATATTTCAAAAGAATATTTATTGTTTATGGCTTTTTATTTGCATTATTGTATGTGCACATAGTTTGTTTTATAAAATAGCTTTAATTATAAGAAGTTTTTGTATCAATGGAAAGTTATTTGTATTTACAAGACTTGAATGTCTCAGTGTTTCAGATAACCCACATCCTTACGCGTCAGAATTGTTGTCAGGACAAGCTTATAGTGGCGATATATGTATCTACAAAAAAACAACTTAATGTAGACATACATTAATATAACCAAAGCTCAGAGGTATTGCCGCGAAATTTCAGTCTTTTTTAATATGGAACAAAAATCTGGTTACTTTCAATAGTGGGTTAATAAATAACATTAAACCCATTAAGGGATTAAACTCTACTGTCAACACATTTCTCCGACCGAATTTTTCAAAAGTCAACTCTCGACATTACCTCTACCCTTCTATTTCTTGTGTAAGTGCAAACATCATAGCTGTCATATACTGTGTCGATGAAGCTAATAGATTTAGTAGACCGGATGATATAATTTTCGTGAGAACTTCTTGAGTAGTTACTGTTATGTAATATAATCCTGTAGACTATGGAGTGTTATTTGGAGGTATGCGATAATCTTAGCTTTAACAATAACAAATTGCTTGTCAAGTAACTTGGTTTTTAAAATTTCTTCAACAAGTTTCATTTTTTACATAATCGGTATGGCGATTTGTGGAGGTTGTGGTGTTTTTACCGTTGGAATCACGAGTCGATCTAAGCTAGACCACTTGGAAGCACTGGGTGACCGTTTCGTCATATTATGAGACCTCAGCAGTGTTCATCCACCATTCCGCACGTAAGATCAGGTTGCGCAAGATCATGGGTTGGTGGAAGTTAGGCATTAACACTGTTGGATACTGACTCAGTGGACTAAACCGAAGGTCCTGGGTTCGAGTCACGCCTGCAGGATGTCCTATACTAGAACAAAACGGTCATTCAATGCTCCCAGGTTTTCAGCGGTGGTATAGCTTAGATCGACTCGTGATTTAGCTGTAAAAATCCTATATTCTACACAAGTTCTCATACTGATCATAATCATGTACACACCAGTGACTAACTTCAAGATGTAACTCATGGAAAGCAGTGACCAGTGGAGTTCAACCCGTGTCGAGTGTGAGAATGTTGTTCACCTCAGTCAATGAATGAAGGATTGCGCAAGATCAAGGATTGATTACATTAACAATTTTGTTGTTTATACTTTAAAAAATACGAATTAAAAATTTTCTGTACATTTTTAGTAATTTGATTTTTCTTATATATATTAGTTTTAAAACATGAACCATCGCATGATATATCAACGACTTCCATTCCCGCTTTATACTTTGATCAAAATTTCAATTTGAAAGATGAAAAGACGTTTTGTCAAGTTATACCTTTACACGTCCGTCGTTCTCACTTTCAAAATGTTCGAAACCCATTTGAAAATATCGTTTTCCCATCAAGTAAACCAGATTCTGTAAATATTTCAAATCGATTAAACTATCCCAATGAAGAATTCCTGCAAAAAGAAGCTTTCCGCAAACAGCATAATCAATTGATTAATTATTTGGATATTATTGAGTTAAATATAGTTGAACAGGTAAATATGTATACTCTTATTGTTTTACTAATTCAAATATCATAACCGCCTTCGAAGCGTTGCTCGTCTATGTCGTGGCCATTGAGTTAGCAATGCGTGGTACTAGATAAAGATTAATGAGGTAGTGAATATTCATCGTATACCCATCCACCGACATGCAATTATGGCTGATGTAGGATTGGGTTGAAAGAAAGCTTTGGTTAACCAAACCCAGAAGTGGTATTAACTCCTGAAGACACCGACCGTCGAATTGAGCCGTGTTTGTAGGTCCCACAAATGCCCTGGTACGGCCGAGAGTGGGAGAGTCAGTTCTCCCTCACGAAATGCTCTCACATGGCCACGTACATATAACCACTGCCAGGGAAGTCTTACTCACTGCCTTTTCGCGGCGAGGATGTTGTTTACGAAATTGAGAGGACGAAAAGCAAATATCCGGCACTTCAACCGGGTTAGTGAATATGGAGGATCCACCTAAGGGAGTTGGAAAACCCTGATTCCAAACCGATGGTGTACATAGGCTCCAGGATCTTGAGTGAATAAATGGCGTATGAAACAATTATTGGTTACCGGCTATCATGGGACCGCATCTTCTGACGTTGCTCCACTGCCTTGTGGATTAGACCTTTAGGTCGAAGGCTCTGGGTGTGGCCCCCTAAGAAAACCACCCGGACAGTAACACGGTCCACGCACAAATCAAGTGACTTGTGTGGCGCATATGTATTCGATGCCCCTTTGTACCAATACTTATGTGTTCAAGTCATTATAAAATCTGTACGAGTGTATTTATTGTTCCATTCTTTTAATACTGTATATTGGTTATGAAGGAATATACTAGTATTATTCATTTTATTCTATTCTAATATATAGGTTTCCAGAAAATCTTCAACATTCTTTGAAGCTATCCAGTGTCATGATGTGATACGTGAAGATTTAAGTCAAGCTATTCGTCAAATTAAAGATTTTCGGTTAGTTTATGCAATACATTTCATATCAATGTAAATACTAAAAACAGATAGCAAAATAGTTTCAGAATAAGTTTATTGAAATTATGCAGATCTATAGAACATGATAACATTCAGGTAAAAATAAATTAGGGCATAAAAACCTTATTTTTACTAATGAAATTAATAATAATAATCCTTGAAAAATTTCACTCAGTTGGTTTCTTTACTCTCACAGCCATCTGTTCCCCTTCTATCTTCTGCTCTATAGATCTTTTACCCTCAACTGATTTCTGTTTTTATTATCCTACCAACTACAGTTCAGCACAATCCCAACATTTTATCTGATCACGCTGAACCTTTCCTTTCCAATTATAATTCTTTATCTATCTTCACAATGAATATTCAAGCTCTCAACAATAACTTTATTTTAAATAAAGTTAAAAAGCCACTGAAACAGAATGAGATGAATTCATTAATACGTGGTTTCTCATCAGCTGCTTACAACTATATATGTACTGAACTATAACATTGAGGTATGATATAATGTGATAACATTGATAACGGAATGAATTATAACAACAAGGTTTGTCAACAACGATTATATATATCTGTCTAGGATTAGGTATGAGGTCATTTGGACAGTTCGAAAAGCATAAGAGGGCGACAGGTGACACAGTAGTGAAGTCCGAAAATAGACAAGATCCTATCTAGTGTGATAATTATAGAGGTTGTGAAGTGTTTGCTTAAGACGACTGGAATTAGAAATTAATAATTGAAGAGGATTTAAAGAGAAATAAATAAATGAAGGGATGATTTTGGTGTGCATGAAAAAAGAATTAGTTTAGCCAAGACCATATAATAAAATAAACACTAATAAGATAATCCTAATAATGACAATAACAAAAAATAATAATTTACTACTTCAGCAAACCAGAGAGATGCTGTTTTTTTTGTTTGCTAATAATTTTGAAGGATTGTGGAATGTCAATAGTATGCCTGGTATCAATTAAATGCCGAGCTATTGCGCTGTTTGGAACGTTCTCGGAAATGCGAACGTGTACTCTCCTCTCTGTTTTTACAATATATGTGCTTTGACAAGCACATGTAAATTGGTAAATGTGCTTGGAGGTAGTAGGAAAATAGGACCTGTCAATTTATGTTAGAGTGAGTGAGAAGTTTATTTCGCCCAACGTCTTCAGTTTGTTGATGGATAAGCAATCTTCATCGTGGCATTTATTCTGTGATTAGTTATTCCATCGACTGTTTTTTCTTAAGGAATCCTTGTGAAGAGAAATTCTTTTGGAAAAAAACGGTCGATATTAAATGAGAATATCTTGAACTCCTTCCTTTGCCAATTACTGAATTCAAACAGCCTTTGTTCATGTGTATCAAAAATATACAATTTCAACTCAACAATGTGTTGTACTGGCAAATTGATGAAGTAGCCGTAGCGAATAAGTGAATGATTGCAAACTAATGGAGGAACATCAGAGAATTTGCATTCAGAAAAAATCTCATTATCTACCCCCTCATTTGTCTTACTGTTGAATTATGATACAAAACAAGGTTATTGGTTTCCTTCAAAAATCTAAACGAATCAAGAATAATAATATTTTCTTTATGCTATAAATTCACTGTATTTTCTTGCATTCACTCTTCAGTTTCATACAAACTTGTATGTTTTATTATTTCCAAGCAATAACATTATGTTCACTTTTTGAAAGAAGGAATTATCATTAACGAATACGTTTCTTTAAAATATAAACGAAGTTACGAATTCAATTTTTTACAAGTTTGTGAAGTTGGCTCAAGGAAAGCTTTTAAAAGTCACCGATAAAGTTGAATCCTATCTGATTAAGTTTCGAAGAGGCCATAGCAATTAGGTCTTTCTATTTAAAAGGAGTCAGCCAGTGGTTAACTTTCAACTGACTTGGTAACGTAAGCGGCCTAAACATTGTGACTTCTTTTTTTCTCTCCATGCAATTAATTATGATCACAATCTGCTGAGCTAAACTCATACATCCTCTTTTTAAACTTAGGAAAATTTTGTTATATTACACAATAATATATTCCAGAACTATTGTAGTGGACGCTAGTCACAAGATTGCTTGTATATAGCGTGTGGCGGAACGTGGCGTCGAAGTTGCAACAATTAATTGTCAGACGGAGTGAAGAGTTTCAGTACATCGGAAGCACGGGGTTAGCATAACACATGGGGATCAGATGAGTAGACTGTTAAGAATGCGGGACACACCAAAAGATGTAAATGGAAAGTTGAAGGCTATGCATATGTATTATATAAATACTTGGTAACTTTCACAATAAATACACATTCCTCCTCTGTATTACTTTTTTATATTATCAATCTAAACAATTATTTAGCAAAAAACCATTTGAAAAATTTAATTGTTAACGTTTTTAACATTCTACAACGGTCTCTTTGTTGTTAATAGCTTCATTTTTAAGAAATCGAACATTATCTTAAATGATTGGAAATAATTAAACGTTTTAGTTTGGACGTAGCTGAAAAGTGTATTTTGCTAATATTGTCGTTCTTGCTTTGTTCAAAACACATGGCTATATATACTGGTATACATATTTTGTAGCATTCTGTGGTTGGATTTAAGAATGTTTTGCTTATTTTTTTGTACTATACATTTCATCCAGTGATGTAAATTTAAGGATTTTGCTAAGTTGTATATGTAGGGAGAAATCTTTGTCAGCAACTTGTGTATACGTCAGTCGATATTCAGATAATTTGGTGAGATTCAATGCATCCTTGTCAATAAATATTGTACAAATTAACTTCAATTAGATCCAATTGTATGGAAACTCGAAAGTTACGACCGTTAGATGACGATTAACTTAATGTTTTACTGACATGGTGTCTATCTATAGCTTATTTTCATATTTTTTTCTTTTGTGGAGAATGTTTTTCATGAATAACTGATCTACAAGCTATTTTTCATGCATTTGTCTTCAAATTCTAGACGTAAATTGCATCAAATTAATACATTGACTATAATTGACAAGATGAAATTGTTACGTGTTGTTAGAAGACGTGAAAACTATCGACTGGTTGTTAATAAGGTGAGTTATTCCTTTTTGGTTTCAGAATGTCGTCAGGTAGTGTTGTTTAGAGAAGATTAAATATTAATAAAGCAGTTAACTCAAGGTATATTGCTTACTGCTGAAGCGTCAAATAGTTATTTTAAATTATGAATAACTGACATTAGTTAGTTCGTAGCTAGAGACTTCTAGGTGATGTAATTTGGTGTTGACAATAACGATTCAAAAATCGTTCTAGAAAATCGAATATCATATCTTAGTATTATATTGGTGTTTAAATAAAGCTAGAACGAATATGAATGCAGAATAATACGAATTCATTATATTTAGTGGTTTCTCATCTGCTGCTTACAACCAAATATGTATTAAAATTTTACATTGATGTACAATATAGTGTGAAACAGTTGACATAAGTGAATGTAAAGAATTGCAATGATAAAGGTTATCGATAATATAATATTATATATATATATGCAAGAACAGGTCGGTGATCATTTGGTGTGAGAATCAAGAAACATGAGGGGTGGGTGATGTAATAATTGAGTGAAGTTCAGAGACAGACAACATAAATTGTATGATAATTTTAAAGGTAATGAAGGGTTTGTAGAAGATCCCTAGAATTAAAAAAAAACTTGTAAGATGGGTTGCGTAGTAATTAAACAAGATTTGATGAGTTCACATAATTCAAGAGAATTGAGTGAGTGGAAACATATAAGTGAAGGCGTGGTTTAAGATTTCGGTAATGGAAGAGAAATATAACAAACGAAACATTAATAAAATAAAACTAATGACCAAAAAATTGAATTAATAGAGTAGCAATAGGTTTATTGCTGTATCTTTTTGAATACATGGATCAGGTTTGAGTTTTTTTTATCGCAATAGCTTCAGCAAACCGAACAGAAATAGTATTTCTTTGTCTGCTAATAATTTTGAAAGGTTGAGGAATGTCAGTAGCTCCAACTGCATTTACCAATTTACATGTACGTGCCAAAGCACATACATTGGAAGAACCGAGAGAAGAGTAAATGTTCGCATTTCTGAGCATGTTCCAAAGAAATCGAGACTGCGAGGGACGATGGCTCTTAACGGTTCAATAACTCGACATTTACTTGACACCGGACATACCATTCACATTCCTCATGCTTTTAAAATTATTAATACTATCAATTGTTTCACACTATATCTTACCTCAATGTAAAATTTTAATACATATTTGGTTGTAAGCAGCAGATAAGAAACCACTAAATATAATGAATTCGTATTATTCTGCATTCATGTTTGTTCTGGTGGCTTTATTTAAATTAATAAAGGTAACTAATTGCATGAAATTACATTGGTGTAATGTTTTTCTTTAAAAATCCACTGTCCTGTATTTCTCTGTTAATAGTCCACGTTCCTTGTTCTATTCACTTAAGTAGTGAAAAACTAAATTACTAATGATTAGCAAACCAATTCAAAGACAGGATGAATAAAGTGACATATTTTCAAAAGTATTAATAAACAAGTAGAAAGATTGTAATAATATGTTTGAAGGATCGTTAACAATAGAGTTAATTCAACTCACTACTTTGATTCCTTCATTTACTATTTAAAAATAAGATTGTTTTCTTTAGGACAGGAAGTATGATATTAATTTATGTCAGTTTATAACCATCATTATTGCTTTGTTATTTTGTTTAATTATGTATTGACTATAGTTACACTCTCAACATGTTTATATTTTCTACTATTTGAATGTTTATTGATTTAATTATGACTATTTTTAGTGTTAAAATTAATTATGTTGTGAAGATTTATGGTTCTGTAATTGTAAAAATATCCCATTTTCCACTAGTTTCTCTTACATACTCATTGTGAATAAATTGTGACGTTACTAAAGAGTGAATGTTAAAATAAACGTTCTCTTTTTGTAAAAAAAACCCGTGTTTGACATTAGTTTCTGAATTGAACCGTCCAAGTTAATCTGTCAGCTAAAAACTACTGTAGTAATTTTACAAATATCCTGAAGAAATAAAATCGAGAGTGAAAAATCTACAGGAGAACTATAATTCAATCTGTAATAGTTTGGGTTATCCTGTGGTTTATATTTCGGCTGAATTAAGATCAGTTCAAGTTAACATGTGTGCATCCTGTGTGGATTACTTCGATATAAATATTGTGTCTCGTGCTTTTATGGGACAGAAGGAATTTGTCTGGCAGTAGAGCCCAGGAAGATCGTTTCGAATCATATGGGGCTCGTCAGTCGTATATATCGCCACCCTAGAGTTCATGTTCACTCTGGGACGCGAACCTAGTACCTTTCCACTTAAACGCCCAAAGCTTTATTCAATTAGCTATTCTAAAAAAGGAGAACTAGTTACATGAAGGTTATTTATGGAAAATTTGGTCTTAAATGAGGATTTAATATTGAATCCTAGGGCATTTAGATTCAACACAACTTCCGGTCATTGCTTTCTTATAAAAATTTCTCATTTCAATCATACTACTTGCAAGTAGTTTGTTCGAAGTAACAAACTATATTTCTTTTAAAAATAGGTTTGTTAAGATTTATGAGTCCGCTTGTAGTTAATTTATCAAAACATTTTCGTCATCAGATACATCCTTCTTGTTATTGTAATATAGCATTAATCACTTCATACAATTTTATTTCATAGTTAAAATTAATCGCGAGTCTTCAAGCTACACAACCTACTATTCAAACTCTATTGAGAAATAATGATTTTTGTGCTGCCCTGGATTTAGTGAGCACTACAAAAGAATTATTACATTCACATTTGATGGTGAACTCAACTTCCAGTGATTTATCATCAGATAATGTGATGGACCAGCCTGGTAATAGAAATTTAACATCTAGGTTGAAGAAGAATTCAACTACATTTCTTTGTCTACGTGATTTTGATGCTCAATTAAGTGGCATTTCTAATTTCGTACATAAAATGGTCGAATCAGAATTTGACATTTCATTGTGTCGATTTTTGGATCCACCCATTGAAGAATATGGTGGATTCCATGACCCAGATGTATGTTTGATGTTCTTTTACCAAGTTGAAATATTTAATGAAGTACATTATTTTTTTTTTTGAAAAGCTATTAGTTCCACACGAATTCATCAAATCTTCACGATTTTTCTTAACTATTTTTTATTACTCTGTGTAGTTTTTAATTTAGATAATGGTCTACACTGAATTCTGAATTAATTCAACTCATTTATTAAGTACAAGTTTACATCCAGCTTTAAAGTACACATTTTCTGTATGGTTATTTATGATACCCAGGCATCAATATTGAAGTAGTCAGGGCAGGGTTCAAACGTACTGCCTAATGGCTCATTCATGATTGCTCCAACCACAAATCGTCCCAAAGAGTAAATACTAGTTTCTTGATAAATCGGTGTCATTTATTGGTATAAATAATTCACATTATTTTCATTTGTTTGTAAATCTCAAAACAGTTGTTATTAGATACTTTAGTGTTATCAACCAGTTGGCCTGCGTCAACACTCGTCGACAACTTCACTTATCCTGGAAGTCTGTTCAGCCCTAACAAGTTGGTGTCTGATGAAATCTGTGCACGGATTCACAAAGTTCGTTTGGCTTTTGCTAATTTACATCACCTATGGCGAAGCTGAGATATCCATCTATAAATATCAATCACGAGTACGGCTGCGAAACGGGTACATTAAGAGTAGAAAATACTCGTACGTTACTAGTATTTGATCACATATGTCTTAGAAATATTGCTCACATGTTCTGAGATAACCATGTAAGTAATAGTGAAGTTAGAAGCAGGTTATTAGGGAACGATGGTAAATCAGTTGATGAGGTTGTGTATCTACATCGACTGGGATGGTTGGACCATGTATTACACATGCCCAACCACCGACTACCATGACACGTAATGCTGACTAGTATTGGAGACAGATAGAAGAAAGTTAGGGGCGGCCAAACTAAAACAGGGCATTAGTTCATAAAGTCACTAACTTCTAGTCTGAGCCATGTTGTTAGATGCAGACTACTTGGTTGAGGTCCGTGCGACTATATTTCCAGAACTCTCTGTTCGTACTCTGAATAATTTTTCTGTCTGCTCGTATAATTACTTACTAATGAAAACATGAACTTTTTCCAAAAAAATTAATGTAAAACGCAAACGTATCAAAATTTGTTACAACCACAAGAAACAGAACTTCATGCTCTAACGGCTGAAAGATTTTAATCATCCTAAGTTTTTGCGGAAATTTCAGGTTGAAAATTAGATCCGTCATTTAATAAACTATTATTCTAATTATTTACTTGATGTCAAAACCTCTCTTCATTTAGATGAGATATCATAAGTTTGGCTAGTAGTAGCTTGTTGGTGACTGTTTTGTGCAACATTTTTATTTCAGTTGGTCAGATACATGATTTGTTTTAGTAGCGTACTGAGATGTACCGGAACTCCACTAGTTAGCTTTATGTACAGACATGCTCTAATTATATCTTAATTTGTCATCAAGTTGGGTTATTCAGAATAAGGCAGTTTGTGTTCTGCATTCCTAGAGATGTTTGATGGTAATTAATTTCCGTAACGTTTAAGCTTCTGTGTTTTGGTGGATAACCTTCGATAATGTACTGAGTAAAAGTAGATTGCTATTTGTCATTGTCCTCTCTCTTTGCCTCAATATATTGAGTTTATCGTCCTTGTACTTATTCTTTATTCCTAAAATCTGATTATCATCTACTTAATGATAATTTCTTTAGTCTTCCAATTTATTCAACTAAGGAGTACAGTCGTAGAATTTAATGCACACATTCCTAAACCAGCAACTGAATAACATGTATGAATCTCGAATTTATAATTATTGAACGCTTTTGTCGAAATCTAATGAAACCTTCAGAATTCTCAAACCTCTACTCATAAAATTTTTAAACGTTGACAGCAGTTTCGAAAACACGATCAAAAGTAAAATAAATTTTCAACGAAGTAAATGTAATAAAGAATACAGTATTTTAGTAGTGTCACTCATTTACATAATGCAAGCCTCATAAATGAATAAATATAAATCAAACCGTTCATTAGTATGGCATGATACTGAAAGGAAGAGAGGATGGTTAAAAGCTAACAAATAAACGGGTTTACTAATGTTTGATCGTATTCATTTCAGTTTATCTCATGTCTTTCGTCTGGTAATTAGAAATACAATGATGCTTAATTTAGATCAAACCACTCAAGTAATAATTTTTTTTCAAAGACAACTTTTTTACACTAAGCCATCCCCTTTAAATAGTTTAAATCATGAACGAATCTTCACTAGACCACCATTGAAAGTCAGGAAACGCTGGACAGCTGTTTCGTCCCAGTATAGGATTCATTAGTGTGCACCCCTTTCACCTTTAAATCTTCAGCATTATCGTTACATTTTTTATTAGTCATTTCTCTTCATAGTAGATTAAGTTTGTGTATATGATTGGTTATCTATTACTGTTTTACTCATCTCTTTTTTTAATCTTTCACCTTGGCATACCTACTTACAGATTTTATCGTGTTTTCTTGGTTTAATACGAATTAATCGGTTGGATTTTGTGAGTGGTTTTCATGCAGAAATGCTCAAAAGAGTTAAAGATATATTCTGTCAACATATCACTTCAGTTACACGACCTCCAGGAAATGATAGTGTTACAGAGTAAGTTATTACCTTCTTTTCTTGCTTCCTTCGAAATCATAAAGCAAATAAAATCCTAAGTATTTTATTTTACATGGATCAATACTTGTTTAAATTGAGGAAATTAATATTTTGGGATGTTTGTGTACCTTTCCATAATCTCATTAAGGTAAGTATCTTTTATGCACTTCTGAAATTCCAGCCTTATTGAAATTAATAACACTTATTGAGATTGGTACTCGAACTGGATTATTTTCACTTATTTTTACCAAGTCATTAACATTGCTCATTACCAAATTAGTATTCTGGCATATTAAGCAGAAAATCATTCATCTTAAATATATTATTCGTCTACTCGTTCTCCTGTGGCACTCGTGTTAAACTGAACTTGAAATTTATTGTTTAACAGATTCATTGTTAGATACCATAAGTTTTAAGCAAAATGATTGAATGTAACACCAAATTTCTTGGTTTCTTTATGACAAGTTATTTTTTTATAATTTTTCCCCCTTTTTAATCAGTTCTTCTACAACAATAGGATCTAATGCAACTAAATTATCTACTTCTGATCAACTGCGTAATATGCCATGTGAAAATTGGATGACGTTTTTAGTTAATCTATGCAATGACATAAAATATTTACTAATTCGTGGACAAGTGAGTGGTTAATTCACATATATTTTGCTATAATAATTGTATAATTTTCTTGAACTTGCAGACTAATTGTGCGAGTAAATTGCCAAAATGGTATATCAATTTACTGAAATCTCTACTCGAATTTTGTTGATCAGGTCAGAGCTTATGGAAAATCGTCATTTAAACTGGCTACTTCACATTGCATTCGTCAACGCTACTCAGTTTTGTTTAGTTTTGGCATAGACATATTTCTAGACGCTTAACACCGCCTATATCAATTTAGAGTACATAGATGGTATATTTATCATAAGCAAACAGATTCATAAAATAGATAATCTTTTAAATGCCTTTGGGATATGTTTCTGTTTCTGGGTTACTCATGACAGACCACCATGTACCTTTATTATGTGTATTTGAAAAATGCTAATTACTGTCAAACTCTTTTAATATTCGTGAAGTCATCGTCTGTTGAGCTGAAATAAGCTGGGGAGTGCAGAATTCCTTGTTAAACTTTCATGAAGTAGAAAAACTACTGGAACTACTTAATGATTACCAAAGATAATATCCAACATAAAATCAACCAAAATGTTATGTTTATTTCCCTCAAACACTGATAATCTCTATTAAATACATAACCATTAGCGTTCTTTTATTTTTTTATTCTGGTTTTCTTTCTGTTGAAATTGTAATAATTTTACTTGGTAAAATTAGTTTTGTTATTAACCACCAGCAACTATTTTGTATCATGAAATAATTATAAACGTAAAAATAATTTATCACTATTATAATGGACGCTACACACAAGATTGCTTTTAGACAGTAGGTAGTGAACGTGGTCTCAAAGTTGTCACAGTCGTTAGACGGAGTGAAGAGCTTATGTATATCGAAAGCAGGGCGTAAGTAGAACACTTGATGATCAGACGATAATATAGTTCAGATTGCACAGTACACTGGTAGATACAAACGGGTGATCGAATGTTTTGTAATTTCTCTTAGTTAACAATCTTTCTGACTATTGTCTTGTTCTATACTATAAAGTGTTCAAACCTCACATGTGAAAAATTAACGACGAAAGTTGAATAAGAGTAAGTTATGGTTATGACGACAATTCAATGTATTCAGTAAATAATTTAATAAAAATAATTGAAGATATCTCTAAGTAATTATTTTATTAGATTATATAATTAATGCTGTTTTTGACCCATATAACTCAAGCTTTTCATATTGTCTAATACTTTTTATGTTAGACAAAATATCAAGTTATTTCATTTATATTGTTCTTGACTAGAATTCATTAATTCTTTACTTTCATTTTAAATTAGGACGTTGTGGATATATTCGAAAATAACCTCTGTTCTAATCATCAGTCAAATGAAACGGTTGAAAATAGTACTGTTATTTTGTCTACTCATCAACCTTTAACTACAATTAGTGTGCATAAAGCGAAAGAACTTGCTAAATGTATGCATAAAACTTTATGGAATACAGCTAATATATCCCAGAAACGTTTATGTTCAATTGTTTCATCTCGATTTCGTCTTGGGTCTATTCAATTAATGGAACCAAAGTTGATGACATCAACAGCATTGTCTTCAACTGTTGATTTATCAGTGAATTCACCAAATCTACAACAAAGACATTTGTCTACAACTTCAATAATGGATATTCCATGTACAACAGTGTTTAGTGAATATGTATTTGATAAATTTACTTGGAGTAATTTTAGAGAACTAGTCAAAATACTGAGTATTTTCCAGGTATGTTTTATTTTTGTCTCTTCAAACAGATACAAAAGTAATATATCGAAACGGTAATTTATGCAACAGCATACTTTTTTGCAATTATATCGACTGAAATTTTTCACTTTACGTTTCCTTTAGTGTCTCTTACAAAATATCTGAATTGTAAGTTTGTTGGTCATGCTAGATCCCCAGAAATCACTTGATAAACGTCTCATTTTTGTAATTTTATTTTTGAAATTTGAATTTCTCATTTCCGCGCCAGAAGTGACAACTTTCACCTTCAGTTTGTATTTTCCACTTTGAAAGACCTTAAGTGTCACTGGTTCTTTTCCTCTCCTAATATGTCATTTTGTGACATTTTCCAAGGACATTTTTGTACTGTATATATACGCTTGAGTTGTGTGCTTGTTCATTCGTGCTTCTGACTGCTTGTTGAATAATACTTTTTCCTCATCTAAATCTGGTTTTCTGCCACTAGTCAGCAGGACTGGGGCTCAGTGGAGTAGTTTAGCTTTTCCTGTTGTCATGTTGCTGACTTTCGTTTCATTTTCCGGTTTAGGCGATTCGTAATCTCTTCAAACGTAGCAAACATTGCCAATGTTATAACAATAAACGCTTTGATGGCAAACATCCATATCTATAATTCTTTTGATTCTCATATCTTGACTTGATTCCGATTTCTTTCCCGAAACAAATTGTTCAGTGTGAAATATTTGAAACACTTGAATTAATGAATGTAATATCCTAAGATGTTCCGGCTGATGTTATAATCATGTACTAGCAGAAGTTATTGGAATCACATTCTATTCATCATAACTTCTCCAAATAGGATATGAAATATCATCTGGAACAGGAGCAGGTTTGGAGAACCTCGAAGTGTGTCTACATGTTAATGAAGCCACGATCTGTTGGTCTCTGCTTTGTAAGTAGTATTGGCTTGTTTTCTGACCATGTGACCTTTGAAAATTTACGAATAAAAATATGAGAACTTAAGTTTATATGGCTCAAATTCATACAAGGATGAATTCTTCTTTCATTTTTTTCTCCCAAGTATTTAACAACATTCAGTGGTCTGCTTTCTGTCCGTTCACTGTTGTCTCCTAGTTTATTTTATTCTCTTGTATGGTATTCCAAAATATGATAGACTGAAAGTGATTCACTTTATTAAATATCTTTCTTAATATCGAAAAGTGTGTCAACGTATCGTTAATTGTAATCAATGTAACTAATTTATCAAATACTGCCCTATGCATTTTGCTGTTAGCCGCAATGTTTTTGTTAGAGGTTTTTATACTACTCAATTTCCCGAACCGGAGTAGGTGAACCAGTGTCATTAAACATAAGCAGTGAAGTTTCTATGTTTTTATTTTATTGAACAAGAAGATTGGGAGTTTTTATTATTATCTGAATGAAAAGTGTTATATAAACTAATTTATGAAATACTTCAACACGTTCAAGTCAATGTTACAGCCTTTTTGTTATTCTTGGCGAACAGTCAAAATGAAAATAATTAATCCAACCTATTAAGATTAAATTAATCGTAAAATGAGTGTTTGTGCATAATGTAATGTTACCATAAATCTGTTAATTTAATAAATTATTGGGTTGACTTTTATTCAATCAATAATTGGAATAGATAACTAAATATATTTAAGCTTTAAACCTGAATTGGGCAATTCTAACAATATATGTAAGTTAATAGCCAACAGATTAAATTATACTTAAAGGAATAAAAAAAACCAAACAAGAGCATAATTATGGTCGGTTTTAAATAATAACTAGGTAGTTAAGTAAATCAACTTAATGTTGAAATGCTAACCTTCTTGTCAAATATTACCGGGTATTAATGAATGATCTAATAGTATACCACATAAATATGAATACTGTTATTATTCTTTGGTTCTTTTCTTTATTGTTCATTATAAGGTATATGTTCTTCGAGCATGGTTGAAATTTTCTGATATTCCAATTAAAGCAATAATTTGTCATCAATCGAATGATTCAGAAAATTGTTTACAACCGAATGTACATTCTTTTAATAAATCAAAGTCTTGTGTTAAAAAATCAACGATTCCTTTAAATCAAAAAACTTCAAATGATGTTAACCCCTCTTCCATTATTAGTTCTAACACTGATGATTGTATATCTAATAACCAATACATATTTAATATTCAATCCGATTTAATCTTACGTGATCTTGTACTTGATATGATTATACTTATAATTGACCGATTTCATCGTGAAAATTATGATAAAATAAATATGTTATTGGATCAAGAAAGATGGCAAGCAGCTATTTGTCCAGAACAAGTTCAACAAATGATTAATGATATATCCATAGAAGTAGGACATTGTAAAATGAAGGTAATTTAATCCAATAATTAATACATTTTTTTGTTTCTTAGTTAAAGTACTTTAGCATACATCATATGGGACAAATCAAATTAATGATGCTAATTTTCTGGTTACCTAACAATTTAATTCTATTTTATTATTGGTTTGTTAAATTGTTATTTGGATACTATCAAAGTGTGTAATAACTACCAACTCATTAATATGGTTTGTTTATTTGAAAAAAAAAAACAACATCAGTAGGAGAATGACTGTTTAATGGTAAAACCTACTGCATTGCTGGTTTGAGACCTTATTATTCTTTTTTCCAGTTTAGACAACTGGTTAGTATTACATTTAAAAGTATATGAATTACTGCTTAGTAATTAAGATACACTAGTTTTATTGTTGTTTGGAGAAATTTATTTTGGTTCTTTTTTTATAAGTCTTTTTTTCTGTGCAAAATATTAGTTGGATTATGCACCATAGATTGTTTTATTGCTTTACGTATACAAAGTGTTTACTTTACTGTTTACCTTCATGATTCATTAGTCAACATTATTATGTTTAAACGATTTATTCACGAGTTTACATTTACTTCAATTATTCTGTTTGTTATGATTTCTCACTTCAATCAGTCAGCTACAACGTAGGACCAAGCACATATATGTATCGGTCCAAGTTGCCACACCTTATGAGCACAACAAGATGAACACCAAATTCATAAAAGTAGCCACTTCAACGGTAGTAATGTATAAAAGAAAGATCGTCTATAAGGATATAGTGCAGGAAGAAAGAATTAGTTCGTAGAAAAAAAGATATAAAGCAGTTTTAATCTCATAGTTTAACGGGAGTGAGTGTATATATCTACGGCGTTGTGGTCGATTCTGAACCATGTCACTAAGAGTCTCCACGGTGTGGGCAACTAGGAAGTGATAACCACCCTCATACTTCTAACAGCACTTATGATGTAGTAAAGACGATATTCGGGATTGAATGGAAAAGCTCTTCTTATGAAAACTCAATTTTAGGGAATAAGAGAACTACAGGAAAATTAGATCTTATAAACATGCCCAATATTTAGTTACAATCTTGTATTATTCAGGTCTTATCCTTTGAAAAACTGCTAAACTTGTACGTACACGTACATATAAAATTAATTTGGCTTCTCTTTATATTTTTACTGTGTGAACATACTATTTCATGATAAGCTATATATATCAGGTGTTTTGAAGAAAAGATGGACATGTAAGAATACAATTTATGGAAGTAATTCGTTTACTATCTGAAAAATAAATTGTGTTTTCATCTTTCGAATAAGTCAATGTTCTTAGGTTTACGGGAACATCTCACCTGAGGTGGACTGTAATCAGAAGAATCTCCTTATTTATTAGGATATTTGTTTGCAGAAGTACATAAACGATAAGTGGTCATAAAACAACTAGAAATCACCAGTACAGGGAATGTGGAGATTATTGAATGTTAGTGAGATTACGAACCGACCAAAGCTGAATAATTGTCAACCTGTTCATTGTTTCCAGGTGTAAAATGAGTGTCTAACTTAATTCGATTTGTCACCTCAGTGTTAGTGTACGTTAAAAGTACATTAAAGTTAATGAATTCAACGACAATAATAGTTTAATCTCAACACATACAGGCACAAAATTGGATCGTTTCAATATGACTACAGAAAGAAATCGACCAATAAAATCCAAGAATAAACTCTAGTTACTCATAGGTAATATAGTTGTAAAAACAAATTTCACAAGTGTAGCTATTTGCTTACATTTGTGCTACATTGCCATATATATACAGTTTAATGTACTCATATTCATCAAAATCTAAACTTGACCGATTGAGCAATCGAAACGCTGTGTGGATGATTTGGATTTTATTGACATAAGGAATATTTATGATGAATAGAATGCATTTTACTCATTTCGTTCACTTTATTAATCTGTTTGTGCATCCGAGGTTGTCAGAATCACAAATGATATGAAGTCTCCTCATTCAGCAACGATCAGTTTGACTTACAATCAGTTATCATATTGTTTAAAGCCCTCAAGAGAGAAATAATATTGAAATAAATTCGTTAAAAAAAAGAATTATAATTTCGATTGGAAAGCAATTGCCATCACGCACAGACATCAATTCGAAAAACCATTTAGTGTTGAACAGCTATTTAATCCTCAGTTGTTCATTACTTCTAGATCTTCAATGTTTCTTCATCAGTTATCAATTTCCAGTGCAAATAACATATGAATTGTACGAAATTGTCCCAGACTAATAAAAATTTCGATTAATTACGCAAATATTTTTGATCGAAAATAAGCATACGTATAATATCATTTCAGCTGAATGATTTATTCTTTAAAATATATCCTAACGTGAAATACCTATGTGTCTATCTATATAATAATATTTCGGTTTCTTTTAAATGTCACTTTTCAAGTTCTTTCTTTCCAACAAATTGTTTTCATCAACATTTCTGTTACATCTTAGAGTTCACAGCTGACCAACGAACATTCTCCTTGTACACCGAATCATAATAATTTGATTCAATCAACAGACAGTGTGGTCTCTACACCCAATTATGTTTTTCTAAAAAATGAAGAGTATACTGTAGTTCGTACAGTTATACTGTTGTTGCCAATAATTAATGATTATGTAAAATTAGATGAAAAATTACCTGGTCAACCGTTAACTACTGAATTCGTTTCAGATCGTTTAGCCGATCTACTTAATGTAAGTGTTTCCTATTTCATTCCACACAAATTTTCTAACTTATGTGGGAAGATTATTAATAATAATACTATTACTATTATTATTAATATTACTATTGTTATTGTGTTAATATGTGTAGTGAGTGGATTAACAATTTCCACTGTAATCTTAGATTTTTGAATGGTTTCAATCAATCAATGTACGAAATGCTTCTATTTATTTGATTTAGTTGTTAAATATGGTAGTTTCTTATTATCAAATGTACTGCATTGTATTATTTATATCGGACTTCGGTTTTTCTGTGGACTATCTTTTTTTAATAGAGTATTTGCATGATTTTATAGTGTCAATCTTAACATAAAATATCTTGAATCAAATTATCGTCATCGTGTAATACGTGTTAACAATTTTCGCCATAGCCTAACGTTTTGAACATATTGATTTGAACTACTGAATTTCAGGTTCGAACTGTAATCATTCTTTATGTGATTTTTAGTCACTGTGTAACTTTTTTAAACGGAAAGTCTGTCTTAGCACCATGTAAAAGATGTTTCTTAGGACATCAATAATGCTTGTGGATTAACATCATTTATCTATGAAATAAGTTGTGCGATTATATTTGCATGTGGTCAAGCTAACGAGTTTTCCAATATTTTCGCTTAATCAATTCAAGTAGAATTTTTCGTCGTAAGTAGACCAACCACTTTGTAAACTTAACAGATTCTCATACTGATAGATAATTTAATTCAAATCTAATTTCCTGAAGAAGTGTTTCATTTATTTTGTATAGTTAAGCTATTTAGAAACATGAGTGATGTTAGACTGTAAATTAATATCTTCTAACTCCTATTATAAGTAACCCTGGTTAACTTCGTATCTTCGCCTAGTTCAAATCCTGTTATGTAATTTCATTTGTTTTATTGAAATTAATTTATTAGTTGTGTATTGCCTTAGGAGACTATATGTATGACAATCAGGCCAGCAAAGAGAAAAGATTGTAAATAAATATGTGAGCGTATATACGAGTTGCGATTTATTGACTGATTAGTACATTTGTAATTAATAAGATAGATAATGAACATTCACACCCTTACATACACATAGGAATCTCCACATAGCTGATCAAACGTCTGAATTATGGTGAATTAATTGATGTTAATAGAATGATATATCTATTTGATACACTTTATATCTGTCTATAGCAAGACTGATTGTATGTGTATGTGATGAAAATAGGTTAACGACAAGATAAATCGATGTTTTTCTGACATACTTCATCCTATCATCTACTGCGTTTTTAAGACTATGAGAAATTGAACAATACGAGAAAAGTGTTGTAGTAGTTTTTCTCGTTATTTCTAAATTTGTAGCGCAACATTCAAAATGTTTGTATGTATGTAGTGAACATGAACTCAAATGAGGAAAACCAATTTATTATTCAATGCAGAATTACACAGTGCCCCAGTATGAGAATCATACATTAAATACATTATGTGCACATCTTTGAGTTATCCTTCACATACTCTATTACTCCTCTCATTCTGTCGTTATTTCGATTGCTCTCCGATTTCCTGATAAATAGTAGTAAGCAAAGTGTCTGTCTGTCATCGCACTGTGTCGAATTACAACTTAGTTTCACTGGCTACACATTTTCCATACATTTATTTGATTTGACTACCTTTTTGCTTTATTTGCTTACTTGTTGTAGCATTTCAATTCCCGTGTTTGTCAACTTGTACTTGGTGCTGAGGCATGTAAACGGGTCGATCTACAACGTATATCTGCTAAAAATCTTGCCTTGACCCTGCGTAGTCTACAATTGGTTGTGCAATTTTTACCATGTATACAATTCTTGTTAAACAGGTAAATTACTGTTGAGTCTTTAAAAGAGATGGATTACTATACTGACATTCGTTTTTCTGTAGTTTTCTTCCGTTGTGTGTTCTTCATATTATTAAGGAAATTTTCCACAAAGTAGCGGTCTGACATATGGAAGAAATTTCGAAAGGTTTGTGAGGTTAAGTTAGTCCAAATGGGAAAAGTGTAGGAAATCATAACTTTCGCTTAATGAAAGCTTTTTAGATTTAGTGTGGCTTACAAGGTTACAAAATCTCTGTAACCCCGGTTTTGTAGCTCGAATGACCAAATGATATGAGAACTGAAATTCATGTACAACGTAAACTGCAAAACTTGCGAAAAGTATTATGTGGGATAAGATAACCATCGTTCATGTAAAGTCGTCATTAATTGTTAGATAATGACAAAATAATGAAGATGATATTAGTTTTGAAGGTCTAATATACCAGTAAATTCGGCAATCTATATACCTAATCTCTCAATAGAAAAAAATTCAACAACCAACTCAGAGTTTTGCTATCGGGACAGAAAAAACATACACGAGAAATACGTAAAGAATCAACCACACACCTCAAGGTAATAAGCATAGGTTTTAGTCATTTCCAGATACTTTAAAATTGCTTGAGTTTCCCAGGGTTTGTGATTGTGAACTTTTTTCATACCATATATTACTGAATAAACACAATGACAATCTACCAATATTCCTGTTTTACTGAATTATTTATTCTCTACCCCATCTAATTATCAATATTAAAGATTCCCATTGTGAAAATTCGGACAACACATATGAGCAGACAAACACTAGAAGTTTTTCGCTATTACTACTAATCTCACCAGTGATAATACATTTGAAAACAGGCAAGATATTTATAGAATCATTCATTATTGATGCTAAGAGCCACTGTGCAAAAAAGAGACATGGTAATCTATAAAAATCTTGTTTTCAGTTGTATCTAGTTAGATATTTCTCACTGACAAACCATTATTCAACAATTCCATTCAGTTTAAATGATAAACAACTAATATAATTTATTACTTCCATTTTCATATGTGTTGCATAAAAGTTGCATATTTTCTTCTCATTCTTATTCCTTTCTACGTAGAATATCTAAAACGGAGTTTAATAAATCATCACCAACTAGTGTCGATAACCTTCTTATTGCTTCATTATATCATTCTAACAGTCAAGGGATAAATCGAATAACATTAAATAGTCTAGATCATATTGAAAAACTATTTAAGTAAGTTTTAGTCCTACTTTGTGGTGTAATTCTCGTTATCAAATGTAAACTGTTAACAGAGTTATTACTTTGAATATATATATTAGGATATGGTTATGGTTGATGCTCTCACTTCTACTTTTATGATGCAAATGCTTCAAATCATAAACAGTTTCCTGCACATTAACTATCAGCTAATTTCCAAAGTTTTTTTTTCTTTTTTTAAGTTTTCAATACATCAAATTTATTACAATAAATCTATTCTGACAACTTATTAATTCGAAAGATTCAACATCAGATATAATCACCTTGAATTGTTTGTATGTATATCATCAATAATTCAATGGATTATCCCAAATAACTCTTTGGTTTAAAAAAAATTCTTCCCCTCTAAGTCGCTAGATAAACTTGTATCCAATTTTCATTACATAGTTATTAGGTTATATGAACATGTTACTCAATATAAATAAGCTGAACTAGTGTCTGTTGGATTTACCTGAATAACGTGAACCATTGTTTGAATGAGGCACATTGTAATTACATCAACCAAGAACAAAGTAGCAAATGCACAATCACCCCTTTAAATATGAGCGAGAGTTGTGCAATTATTTATTTGCTCCTCATTGTTAATGTGGTCAGAATACATAAATCCTGTGCATCGTAGCCTATGTAATCATTTTAACATCTTGTTTTACCAATTGAAGGAAAATATTGCCATATCGAGAAGTTTGATTCTGGTCTTTGTAATAGCTGTTTTGGGATCAAATAGATTATCAGTGGATATATTATTATTTGGGGGAGTTGAATGTATAATTTTTCGACTCAGTTGTTTTTAGCTCATGGAATGATGAATTATGACATAAAAGCAGTTAAGTCATATGAAATATCAATTAATTTCCTTCTGGATGTATTATTTTTACTACAAAGTCGTATTAGCTCATGGATACTGTTGTCATCGCCTTTTAGAAGAAATTCCGTGATTTATATACCACATAAAGTTTATTGTTTATTGTTTCGTGAAATGAGATTTATCAGAAAAATAGTGTGTTGAATGTTGTAACCTTCACCTTGTCTACTTATGCTCTGTGTAACCATTTATTGCATAATAAATCTTTATATATATTCTGTTCAATTATGGGAGAAATTTCGTATACAAGACAATGATGTATGATATTCCCATTTCATTCATATAATGACATTTTCATTTCGTCTCTCTCATATCCATACGATTTTTTCACTGTTTTGTTTTATTTATTAGCCAAACAATATTAACTACTTAATAACCGTAGATTATTTTTCATTTTTTTTATTATCCACATATACCGTTCATCATCATGGGTTTAATTAGGGAAGTTTTATTTTTTGATTAAAAAAATGTTCCTGCAACTGAAAAAATTTTTTTTCCTGTTCCAACTTGTGACATTTTCAAATAGCACGCCTTTTTCTTCTTCACATTTTATAGTTTATTATGCATGGATCCTGATTATCCCATCAGTTCGACCATATTAAGTGACTGTTTATTTCCTTAAAAATTCAGTATTTCTATAGTTTGTTTTTACTTACAAAAATGTGTGATATAACAAAACAAATGCAAAAATTTTGATAGATTAATATTCTACTCTTCTGCTAGGGGTGCTAGATCCACAGAAATCACTTAGTAAACGTTTTATTGTTGTTAATTTAATTTTGGGAATTTAAGTTTCTCGTTTTCGTGTTAAAAGCGCCCATTTTAAAACTCAGATTGTATTTTCCACTTGAAAGAATGCTAAATATCATTTGTCCCGTTCGTTCTTTAAATACGCTTGTTCGTTCGTGCTTTCTACTGCTTGTGGAATACACCTTTTTCTTCATCTGAATCTGTTTTTCTACCTCTAGTTATCGCGGTCGGGACGCATCGGAACAGTTTATCTTGTCATTGTGTCGCTGATCGTTCGTTCCGTTCGCCAATTTTAAGTGATTTCGTAATCTCTTCAAAAATAGCAGTTTCTATGATTGTGACATAGGTTTCACACCAATGTTATTCCAGTTGATTAAATGAAATAATAATAAATTTTTAATGTCTAGAAAACTTATAGCTGATCTTATAAGTGATTCACTTTATATGATCAACCTTATGAAGTATTTGATCTCGGCAACTGTCATGATAATACTAACTTATTTAGTCTTTAAAGTAGTCACTCTCTTTAATTTTCAGTATTTAAATATAACTAGTTTTGCACTACCTCACTGTTTAAAAATTTAAAGTACAAAAGTCAAATAGGACGGAAAGAACAGTCAGAATTCGATCGGTTTATGAGTTTTGTTCAAGATTACTTCCGTTTTGATTCAATGTAATGATTACCTAATGTAGTATTTGTTTTCCTTTCTCGTATGATGTTTTATTCCGTATAATATGCGATATTCTTGTATTCCATTGACATGAACTATGATCTGTGTGTGATTTGTTATAACTGAGTATTTTTCATATATATGATTTCATCCTAATTATTAATCAACAATGGGTGTACTATCAATATATAAATGAATGTATTTTTGAGTAGGGTTGTTGTCGTTGTGTTTTGGGGTTAATAAATCATCACTTATGCTAATCTTTGTGTTCTTACTTTCGCGTCGTGGGATTTGCAGAGGTACATCGTTATAAGTATATGTGATAAGCGTTTCCGACAAAACAATCACCGACGACCAGATATAACAAAGTAACTTTCAATCGACAAGACTTATCATTAAGAAATGAAACATTTTAATACACCTTTACAACATCAATAATGACATCTTTTCTTAAATTTTGTCGGTTATTATTTTTTCTTTAGCTTCTAGTTTATCTTCTACATAGATTTAGTAAATTTTCTCTAAGAAATCTATTAGAATTCTTCTGATTCAACTGATCAATCATGGTTTCCTTTTCATTGATACATAATGTTTATTTAAATACATTAGAAAAAAGAGTAAATTATCTTTTTTTCTTCTTGTTTCCTGAGTATAAATTGTTGTTTAAATACAAAATAATTTTTTATATTTTCTTAAACTTTATCAATTATAAGGATTTGAATTAAGGATTTACCATTAGGGAACTGGATAATAAGAATTTTGTTCTACAAACCATTTTCTTCTTCTTCTTCTTCTTATTATTATTATTATTCAAAATCATTGGTAATTCATTAATAAGCATGAAAAAAATATTAATATTCATTACACAATATTCTTTTGTGAGAAATGTACAAATGAGAAGATTTGTTTCTTTTATTTACCATTGTCTATATTTACAATATTTACTAAATTCTTTATTATCACACTATTATTTGATAAAAATTAATGCGATACATTTAATTTTATTTTCTTTACATTCATATATATTGTACTTCTTTCTTGAAATAGTGAACATATTGAAAGTATTTTACAAAAACTTGTTCAATTATTATCGGATCCAATTGGTCCAATGTTTTCTAATTGGTATGGTCGTCCTCCGATACCAAGTAAACAAATGGATGAATTATGTCGGAATTTATCGAAATTAATCGGTATGACTAAAAATGTATTACCTGCTAAAACACTTACGGTAAGTTTAAAAGAATGAAGTTATTTTCTTTTGTAAACAAATAAACTAAATACATATAAAACTCAAATTTTATTATTCATATTTAATATTTTTATATCTTAGACAATAATCATTATATTATACTATTTTTATCGGTATGAAAATTTGTGAAGATTGTTGAATATTATTTCGACAGTTGATAATTATCATGTTATCACTAGTTACTAACTTTAAAAGTAAGTTGTGTCCAGTGGAGTTTAATGGTGTCGTGCTTGAGGCAGTTACCGTAACATTATTATTACTGAATTCAATTAGGATTTATCCATATTTTGAGTTTCTATCAAACTGATACAGAAGAATATTGATCCATTGTTTTTTACTGGTTTCTCCTCAGATGTTTACAACCCTACTCTTATGGCATAATATTGTTTAGTAAATGTAAATAATTGAAAAATTGGAAGGAAAACGATTAGTGTTATATATATATATATATATATATATATATATATATATATATATATATATATATATATATATATATATATATATATATATATATGCTTATTTATATACATGTATTCGTTGTCATTCGAATCCTGTTAAACTATAATGTATAGCAACAATTATCTAGTTCCATTGGTGTTATAATTTGTTCTGTACGTGAAATACAATAGAGCTTTGTTGATTTACAACCTATCAAATCAAACTTCAAGGAATTTATCCTAAACTTGCTCACTACAATTTTTGTTGGTACAAGATTTCTACATAATTGATTTCTGAATGGGAATAGGCATTGGCACAATGTATTCCAGTCTCAAGAATTTAATACAACACTGTCTTTGATTTACAATTCCATATCTCGTTGTTATTACTGTTTTTTTCTATATGGTTTACATTTTCCGTTTCTCTCTCTCTCTCTCTCTATCTTTGTATATACATTTATAAATATGATCTGATTTGTTACTTCTAATATATTTTTATTTATTTAAGAAAAATGAATAGCTTGTCTTTTTCAATTTATGTCTTCATCAGTGTACCTATTCTTTCGTTCTGGTGATATGTGATATTATCGTCATACAGTTATTCTTTTTACTAAATTACTTTAATAATGATGATAATGTCGGTGAAGATCTTTCCGCCTTTTAGTAAGTAGATTAACCATTGCTATCGGTTTCATAATGTTCAGCCTGATAGAACATTGAGTCCATTTCATGTTGTATTAATTTATCAGTATTCATTTCTCATTTATTCATTTGAATTTATTAGAATTTAATTGAAATACATTTTAATTCTGTTTTGTGGACATTAATCATGATTGTTTTCTCATTTCTAAATAAATTGACATTTGGAGGGAGGGATTCATTGTTACTCATTATGCATAGTACATATGCATTACAATTTTGTCGAATATCGAAATCCATTATACTCAATCAACTTTCTTTTTTTTTAAAAAAAAAAACAAAGCTACATCTTTAATTGGTTAAATCAAATGACCTGATGTCGACCATCACTTTTAAATCTATGAAATTAAATGTTATAGTTATGTAACTTGTAAACTGTAGTACATTTCAGTTCAATGTAGTATAAATTGAATTGTTTGTGATAAGTTGAAACGTCTTATTTATTCTATTGAAAATATCAAAATGTTTTCTGTCCTGAATTTAAAATTAATTTTATGCATATAGTCTATATGATAATGTTCCCAGTTGATGAATTGTTTACCATTTTCTTTCTATCTCTCAAACAATCCACTACATATTTTACTTATTGGTATTTTGTAACGTTTTTAAATTTATTTTTTCTAATTTTATGATTTGATTACCTTTCTATTGGCATCGTGTTACTTACTATATTTGATGAGAACTGAATACTACAGTCAGTCGTAGATTGCATTTTCTCACACGTGTTCAGATTAGCTCTTATTTGTTGTTGCTAGCGGTGTTTTTCAATCGAATTCTATCCGTAAAAGAAGCATTGTCTTAGTAGAGGGTTAAGTCAGTGAGTATAACGTGTACATTAGGAATCTGTTTTAAATCACTTGAATCACACAAACGATTACAGCCTCCATTATCAAATAATCATACTTTCTGTTGTCAAAAAACCCAGCTAAAACTTAAATTTTCACTCTATCACTAAGTTTTCTTTACACATTAGTATAGTTTCATTAGCTAGTTAGTTGTGCATTAGTAATCACAAACTAAGTCAATCAGCTACAACGTAAGGCCAGGTAAATGAATGCATCGGTTCAAGTTGCCACACCTCATTAGTACAACAACATGAACACCAAATTCATAGAAGTAGTTACCTTAGTAGTAGTAATATATTAAAGAAAGATTGCATGTAAGGATATCATACAGAGAGAAAGAATTAGTTCGTAGAAAGAAAAATATAAAACAATTTTAATCTCACGGTTTAAAGGAAAACAAAGAGTGTATACACCGATGTCATTGTGATCGATTCTGACAAACTATTTCCACTGTTATAAGCAAATGCAAGTTTATATTATTTAACCTTGCTTCATATCTATTGTGTTAGAGTTAATGAGATAATCTAATAATTCCGGATTATGGTAGGTGAAATCCAAGCACCATTATATTTGTATGCATACTTGAATTATGTCGTCTTTTTTTTTCTCCATTGAATAAGCGTCTTGAGGTTACTCATTTTGTCGATTCGAAGTTGTAGATGTTAAATTGTATTTGTATTATTATATTGTTTTCCTATTTCTTCATTGCTTATCATTGTGTGTGTGTTCTTTTCTATCAATTCAACATGTACTAGTCTATCCTATTGCGTGTTCATAATGAATTAAAGGTGCAGTTACGTCATCGTATTAGTGAACTTGGTATTGTTGCTGATGGTGGACCTCAACAAAGGTAAGTCACTGATCTTTTTTTATATTTCAAAATCACTATAATCTCACTTTAATTACATTTTCTTATATCATGCCCCATGTTTATCCATCGTCTGAAGTATAGCTTGAATTACAATAGTTCTGTATTTAGAAGCCAAAATAATTTAAAAACATATAGTTTTGTAATCCTTGTTCTTTTATGTGGAGATTTTTGTGGATATTTGAATTTTTACTACAGAATAAAATAATTTGAAGGATCCTTGGGAATTACGAAACACGCCTCAGTTATTTCATCCTTTTATGAAATTTCTTAGCACTAAATACCGTTTACGTACTGTATATTGGAAAATATTGACAATCTTCAACAATCCAAGCAAGCGGTTTTAGTCAAAATCTAATAACTTACATTTCCAACCTCAATCAATTCTATGTTCTAGTACAGATTTTTTTCCAATTTCATCACTAAGCCAAATCATCTCTCAGTCGTCATGTAACCTCATTCTATCGTTTGGCGAGAAGTCTTAAAAGCTTTTGTAATGTAACCCTTATAAATCAAAGGTCAATTAATTCCGTCGTATCGATCCGATTAATATGGAGACAATTCATCTCATGAAATGATTGTCGATCAAATGAGTCGTTTATTCCATCCAGTACAATTTCTTGATTCCCAACACCTGATTTGATTGCAATTCATATCAAGAGCTTTGTGAAGGTGTATTTCGTTTTGATATCTTGAAAAAACTTCTAAAAATAGAGTTCTTACCACATTTATTGTTGTAAGAATTCATTAGAACATACTGTACATAAATTCTTTCCCATTATAATGACTGAAATCGGTTTATTCGAATAAGCGGACGGTTATTATCCTGAGTGAAGTTCTGCTCTGACGAGTCCAAAATAGAACGGAACGCGCGTTCTGGATTCTCTTGCTAGCCACTATCCACATCTGTTTGTATTAATTATTTTTATATTGTTGAAATGTTGACTGTTTTTTTTGTTTATTTCAGATAACTTTTTATGTAGAAAGTAGATTGATGAAACAACCGGAAGTAAACATCTTAATTTTAGCCAAACATATTTTTTTTCTCTTGACACAGTGTTTATCGGCAGGTTAAATAAAATTATGGTTTATATGTGAACATTCGGTAGTTGAATTCATGAGTGAATTGAAGCTAGATCACCATTGAAAACCTGGAAGCACTGGACACCCGTTTCGTCCTAGTATATGACTCCTCAGCATTGTGCATCCATTCGTTTAAATTTAGATGATATTCAGTGTAAAAATTATCTTTAATATAATCTAAGCGGTTGAAATGTAAGTAGTTCAGGCGTTTCATTCAATAAGTCAGTCCGAACGTCCTTAGGGAAGTAATCGTAATCCATTTTATCAAAGAATGTATAAGGATTAATAGCAAAATTACACTACGAGTTTGTCCAATCATATTTGTTTTGTACACAGTAAAGTCATGAGGCAGTCTGATGTAAAAATTAATCACCGGATAAGGATTTAAGGGTATATGTGTGCGTTTATCTGCATGCAGCTGTTATGTAGGGAGAAGGGCTTTTTAACGTTCACATTTCTTATTTCATCAACCGACTGGATTAATAATAATAGTTCAATATAACTTGTGAGGCAGTTACTCACTGAAGACAGTGGTAGGCGGTTGCCCAATATCTTAGATTGATGAAAATTAGAGATTAACAACGTTAGGTGCCAGCTAAATGGCCTAGAGAATAAGCGTTCGCGCGCGAGATCGAGGGTCCTGGGTTCGAGTCTTTCTTCGTGCGAGATCATGGATGCGCACTGCTGAGGAGTCCCATACTGGGGCAAGACGACCGTTCGGTGCTACCAGGTGTTTCAATGGTGGTCTAACATACACCCATTCGTGATATCAATCTAAACTCAACAATCTCCGCAATTCTATGCAGATAATTTAAACATTTTCCCCCGATTTATTTCTTACTGTTTGGCTTCAGAAATTAAAAATAAATTTTTATCATAAATCTTTGAATAACAGCTACCAGTGGAACCTAGGATGAGTGTTTCGTCGTGTCTTCGACTCATCAACTGAAGGTTTACTGCCTTTATGTTTTTATTGTTCATACTCGAGCTTGAAGTCATTAATTATCTCTTCAAATCTCACTGGTATTTTAGCTAAACTACTGAGATGAGATAATCACTAATGTTTGTAACATGTTCAGTATGCTAATAAAAGCGGATCAACTTCAGTTCTGACTATCAAATACCAGAAAACAAAAGTCGCTTTTCTAGGCGCTTGTTATTATAAGATCTTGCCATTTCACTGCTCACAAAGAAATTTATTCATTTTTGTTTTCCAAGTGAGATGCTATATTCCTATTTCAAAGTAGTGATCAAAGTCTGTGGATCGAGAGGAATATAGTTACTCAAACTAAATTGTGTTTAATATCAGATGGGTTTTGTGTATATTATAGTAATTTCAATTGTTTAGATCATGAGTCAGTTGAAGCTAGACCACGGTATTAGTGACCAGTGGAGTTCAACCAGGTCTGTTGTGAGATAGTAACTCACTAAAGACAATTGTGGATATGTCGCTCGATTTCGTGGATTAGTTGAAGTAAGACATGAACACCGTTGGATGTCGGCTCAGTGGTTAGTGGTTAAGTGCTCGCGCGCGAAACCAGTGCGTCCTGGGTTCGAATCTCGCAGGGGGCGAGGTCGTGGATGCGCACTGCTGAGGAGTCCCACAATAGGGCGAAACGGCCGTCCAATGCTTCCAGGCTTTCCATGGTGGTTCAGCTTCAACTGACTCATGATCCTAACCATTGAAATTAAATTGTGTTTCTCTAAAGCCACTCATCGAGAGAATATATTTAGGCTTCAGTGAATTCCTGGACACCAAACTAAATTTTTCTTCGAACTAATAAAGTCTACTTAGTAATTTTGAAATAATAATACTTCAAGTCACAATAACTATTAGGCATAACGAATTAAAAATTCCTACTGATTTTCATACATTTTACTAAATCAAATTAGCCGAAGAGAACACATTTTGGAAGGTATTTGAAGAATGGAGTACTTTTTGAATTAACCAAAAACTTTATGAGATAAATTTCTATCAGAAATGATGGATTATATAATTAGTATTGACCTAAATGTATATGTTGAATAATTCTACTACGCTTATGATATGATAAAAATAGGTTATATTTAAAACATACTTTAATATGTTACATTTTGGTTAAAACTATTCAAATTTCAACTAAGAAGTCTCCAGTTCGAATCCTATTCCACCAACTATAGTTTAATCGGATACTATTAAATTGTTCTTAAAACTCAAAACTAAGTCTATTCGATCAATCATTTACAGTAATTATTCTGCTTATCATATAATTTCTTCATAGAATTATCAATGTTCTTTAAAAAAAGAAACTAATCCCTTCTATTGTATACTATTGATGTAGTTAGATGTAATGTTGAATTTCCAATAGTTTTTAGTTTAACATAAAATATTGTTATCACGAACATATTGCGCACAATATACACAGTTACAATTTCAATGAGTTAGATTTTATCCATTTATTATCATTTTGTACAATACAACTTAAAACGTCTCATCGTTATCTCTTTTTATATCATGATTATGTAAATTTGACATTTATGACATGCGCATTAATATATTGTTTTTTTGGTAACAACAACAGTATCAGTATCGTTCTCATATTTACATTAGATATTAAACTAATAACTATTGGAAAGATATTATCATATCTAATATCCCAGGCACTATGTCTAAAATGTTTCCGCCATAATCCCATTTCTGCCCTCTCCCCTACAAGATTCATAGCTCTACCGAACATATAGTTTATGCTTGTGTTATGTATCAAATTATCCCGATTTTCTGTGTTATTTTTTAAAATTATTTCACGTTAAATAGTGACTAGATTCATTTTGAATTGTATGTGTTAGTTTGTTTATTTTATATTTATCTTTTAACTTATTCACATCATTTGATGACTTAAACGTTTCTCTAATGTATTTTTATATTTTCTCTTCTTTCTCCCACTATCCTTTGTATTTTAGCTTGATCGATTCGGAAATTCTCCACTATATTGATTATTTTAAAACACTCACACCACAACTACAAAAATTCGTTGATGATTGTTCTGATATCTGGCCATCATAAATAATATTGACTGTTCATTTACAAAATTCCCATGCAAGATGTGGTCTGGTAAAAAAAAAGATAAGCCAGAAATACGCTCCTGCCTGTCTATATTAGCTAGAAGTATTTATTCACCTTGTGTCTTTCATTATTTATAAATGGATATACTTTATATTTTGTGAATAGATTGTGAGTCTTTCATTATTGCGGATGTTTATACATACAAAGAATGAACTGATTTCTGTGGTCCTATCATTCCAATAGACATATTTAAATAGATCAATTGTGTATGTGTGTGTGTGTACGTGCGCAAAACGTTTCTCCTTCACTCACTTGTGTATACATTTTGCTGTATTCTCTTTACTTTTATTCTGCTGTTATTATCAGTATTACTATGTTTCGCTGTTTCTTTCTGTCTTACTTTATTCCTTCTGTTCATATTCAAGTTTTTTAATGAATAAATTTTCCACATTAAACTTAAATTTTAGTAATATTAATCTCCTTTTTAAATTATTATTATTATTAGTAGTAGTAGTAAAATGAGCTTACACAGTATTCATTTATTATTTATTATTGCTTCTATTGAAGAATATGTTGTATAATTTTTTTTGGGGGGGGGGGAGAGGAGAGTGTCAATTAAATGTGTGGACAAACAATATAGAAGTTTACAAATTTCTGTAATATGTGTTACTAATTAATGAAATTTCTTTTAAATATCAGGTAACTTGTCAATTGAGTTCATAAAGTTTTGTTATGCTGTGTTGTTTTCTAAGTCTGTTATATATATATAGGATTTTCATTCGACAACCGAGTCAATAATATATGCATACTGAATGTACATCCTTCTCGCTTAGAAAGTAGAATCACATTTTCGATCAGTAGCATCTGTTTCTTTCTAGAAAATGAACTCGAATCCTGGCCAATAATGTATACTTATCATATAGTCTGTCTGATTGGTCCAGCTTTTCATTTTTTCTTAGTCTTTGAGGGGCATAGTACCATCCATGTAAGTATAGATTGAAGTTTATGAGACGACTATCGTATTAAAGTTGTGTAGAATTGAGTTTTGAATGTTCATTCTAATAGTTGAAAATCATGAAATAGTGTGGTGATTTATCTGCTGGTTCACTTCAGCTAAAATTTGACTAAACGTTTATAACTTTACTTTTTTCAGCTTATTGTTGTATAAACAGAAAACACAATGGAGACGAATAAAAAATATTTGTGTTCTTTTTAATTTAGTGTATCAAATATTAATGAAGTTTGGTTCAATGTTATATTTGCTAATTGCATTTTTAAATTGATCATTTGCATCTTTGAATTCACGTAATCAATCCATGTTTCTACTACACCTAATTCATTTAATTGCAATTTTAAAAAATCAATGAACTATCCGTACTGAAATCTGCCTAGCGTCTTGCAGAATATGTTAAGCATGGAAATGTAGTGAAAGCACCTGGTAACATAGATGAAGTTTAAAACAGCACCTCTGGATATTCAGCAGAATAAATCAATCGTAGTAACTTTTCTATGGCACCATTCTCTATCATCCGCTTAGTTATAGAGTTTACTAAATTTTAGCATTTGATTGTCCATTAGATTCAGTTGGGTAGTTGACGCAAACTGGATTCTATCAAATATAATTTGTTAGACATTTTCGCTTCCGAAGGTTATGCAGAGAACCATTTTGTGCACAAGTGTTTTTTTACGTTAAATTCATAGGGGAATTCAATTAAAAGACATTGTTTAAAATGCAGAGTAAATTTTTTATTAAGTAGGCTAAGCCGGTTGGATAATGGTGTGCTACAGTGGCTCTTATTGAAGGCATTTTGTCATCATTTGCAGTATTTTTAAAAAATTGAAACAGAACGTTTTGTAAACTCATCTTGACTATCTGTAAGCGCAATAATGACCGAAATTCAGCAGATATATGAACTGTACTTTTGTATAGTGAGGTCATTGACGTAAGTAATGTTTTTCTGGGAAGATATCAGTGATTCATTCCCCCCCAAAATAGTTGGAACTGAAGAAAGAAAATGTCAGTAGTATGTTGAATACTGCTTCATTATTTCAAACAGAAATAGATCAGGATAAAATTGAGAGTTATTTTATTTGTGTTTTTGAAAATATATTTACCAGCAATAGTGAATTTAGGAAAATCTGTAAGGAAATATTTAACCTCAAAAATTAAGAGTCTATAAATATAAATTTCTTCTTGACAGCATTATCCTGATGTTAAAATGAAAATCCTCAATGAATCACATTAGCCTTCACTCATTGATTTTAAAATTGATCATCAAAATTCAATGTAAAATATTCATAGTTCATTTTCTGTGATCTTGATGATTTCTCAAAATATCCATTGGGTAAGCACATGAAGAATCAGTTTGTTTAGCATAGATTTTTCTTAGAATCGAACAATCGAATCATTCAGCACCTAGCTATAAATCATAGATTAAAATCCAAGAAACTGCTGATTTAAAATTTTTAATATGTTTTTCAACTTATCTTCACTCTATCTGAACATTTGTAACACACACACTATTTGTACTACTTGATCAAAAGGTAACTTTACCTCTGGTTACCATCTCTCATTAAAAGTTATCCTCAAAGAAATTTTTTGTTCTTGTTTGAGTGAAGTTTATAATCTAAATGTTTATCAGTAACAATCATATAATGTGATTTTACTTTGATAATTTCACATGTAAATAAATTGAGTTTATATTTATCATCTTGTGTTAGACTATTTGATTGTATGTTAAATCTCTTTTTCTACAATAAAATAAACTTTTTTTTCTTTATTTTATAGTTATTGTTATACAAATTGAAATCATATTTATACAAGATAATACATATGAAAATTCAATAAAAATTATATATTAAAATCAAACTGATAAGTAATTGAATTTGAATGATAATAATTTGTGCTAATTTCATTGTTTCTATGTTAAATAAACATGGTAACAAGAGTAAATATGAATGTTTAAAATTTATTTCATTGTATAAGATTTACATATGTGGTCATACTGTTGAAGTAATATCAAAAGTATGAGATCATGTATGTAATAGATTGAATAAAATGTAAATTGAAAGGATACTTCACTTATACAAATACACACACAGAGAGAGAAAGGGATAATGCAAGGATAGAATTATAATGCATCATAGTTGTATTTAATAACTGAACATTAAAACTAAGAAATCATCACAGTTGGTAAGGATACAGATAATTAATTTTAAAATGATGGCATTGATCCGAATAACAAATAAGCAAAAGAGTATTCAATATTAAATTCTTTATCTTGTATCAATATTTTATTTATAATGAAAGAACTTTTCTAGAAGGAAAATAAATAAAAATATTTATAAAGTGCTCAATTGTGAACATTCAGTTTCATTTTCATTTATAGGAATTTTACCTCGTGTCCGACGTGGACAACATCCAGTACCAGTTAATCGAAATGAATAAGCTGAACTTGGCAAATTATCTAATCGGCTAGCCATTGGATATAAGAAAAATGGATAAACAATTAAACCAAATAGAACTGATAATCCCACTTCTATATAAAATCCATCTAATTGTGTAACACATGTTCCATGAAGAGTTTCACAGGCCTAAAGAAGAAAATTAACACAAGACTAATAAATATTGCTTTATCTGTTACAAATTTTACACTTAAACAAACGATTGTTTTAACCGAGTCGACACACTACGGAAAAATCATTTAGATAAATAGTTTCAACGAATGGGCTTCCATTAATTCAGTTTGACCTAGTACACATTTCAACATTTATCCACGCTTCTAGTTGACAAATTTAAAACTTGTCGTGTATAAGCTGTACGTATAACTAAAAAAAATTAGAAAGAACCGCTGTGATGGAAAATGGTTTTCCTCCCGAAAATGAGAACTTAACTAAGATATTCTTCATGAACATTAGGTTCAAAGATGATATGTCAGTAGAGATCATGAAAAGCCGATTGTTGAGATCTTTAAGAAAGACATATTCAGACGAGCTACAAAGTGCTTTTCATAAAAATCTGATCCGAAGGTATAGCAAGGATTAACTAGAAGTTTATGTTACCTCATTATGAATCTATCAGTTGACTTTCTCTTATTAACTAGGCTATGGTGGTTGCTTTCTCTTTGCAATGGCACACTCAAACATTATGTTATATAGCTATCTAGTAATTATTTACAAAGTCAAGCAAACTGGTTCGGAGAGAGCCCGTGTTAGAAACCTGTGCATAACAATGGCTTAAAAATTCATTAGGTCAATCTTGTTCTCTTTATTCAGAGGCAACAAGCCAAATCCCTTATTTCCCTCTGCATTTAATCCTGCTTTAAATGCCATAGCTTTTCATCACTAAGCTTTTGTTTCTCCATTGTATCCGTCAAATGGACAAGTATATTTTATAGCTCTTCATACAATAACTCCACATCATTGTATTTCGTTACCTTTGAGCTATTACGTATCTTCCACTCAATAATGGGAAGTTTTCCTCACATTTTGATAGCTTTGTTAATGACCTTAATGTTAGTATTATTCGTAACTAAGGCTAAATAAAATAGTTATATTCAATAAAATTATTTAATACATGGAGAACACAGTTCAACTATCTGAGTACTCGGTATGAGGGTTTGCGGAAATTTGAGTGTTATTGATATCACAAACCGACTTAAGTTGGATAACCACTTAAAGCCAGGAAGTATTAGACAGCTTTTTAGTTGTAGTATCGGACATCTAATCTGTGCACATCCACAACCTCACCACAGTGGACTGAACGTAGGACTTTTTGCAGGATGTGCGAGCACTCAACCTTTAAACCACTGAGCCGGCTACCAACTGGTTATATGTTTAACTTCATGTTCCCAAAAATCTTCACAACCTCTATACTGAAAATTATTGATTACCTCTTGCTAACTAATCATTCTGGTAAAATGATCTTCATAAACAATTACTATTCGATGTTCTAATATATTTTATGATTAGTTTATTATGAAAGGCAACTTAAAAAACAGAACAGAATTCTTTATTTATTATAGAATTATTCAAATTAATTTATAACTTAAATAAAAATGACTTCTTTTTGAATCATAAAACACACTTACTTTAATTCCATGGGGTAGTTTACATGTTGCATTATATTGTTGGACTAATTTATCTTTATCAAAAAATGTATAACTATTGTTATAATTATCATTATTGGTTGTGTTATTCAATAATGAATTATTTGAATTGATACCTTGAATAATTGTTTGATTGAATTCTTTCAAAATACATGCACGTTTAGTTAACGGTTCGATTAACGAAAGGAAAGCAGTACTGGGCAAACTACCAGCTTTAAAGGTAAAATTAAAAAGCAGATATATATATATATATATATATATATATATATATATATATATATATATATATATATATAGTGGTAATGATGTGAAAGTCTTTTTTTATTCTTGAAACTAATTTCTGAAATACTATTTAGAATCAAACAGTAATATACATCAGTCGATTTGCATAAGGGTTTTATCAGTGGTATGTGTATATATACTTTAGCATATAAATTTTAATTAAAACTGGTCTGACTATACCATAAGATCACTAGATCGTTTACCCATTTGATTGAGCCCATAAAGAAAAAAAACCTTTTGTATACAGAATGAAAAAGAGCTTTAATGTCATTTGTAGAATTTACCAGCTTAAACTGAAAGAGTATGATAGAATTTACTGTCGAAAGAGCCTAAAAGATCTGTATCTGTTATGCTCAGATAATGTGTGTATTTTCAACAAACAACGTGTAACTATACTCAGTCCTCAAGACCTCATTTTCGCTTGGATTTTTTCTAGCGCAACTAGAAAACATCATACTAACGGAAATGATAAACAAACGTCACATATGTTGATTATACCTTCATCATATATGTTAATAGAGACCAATCGGACCTATTATTTAGATTTTTCAATGCGACTTAATCAAATTTAAGGTAAAGTACAAAGAGGAATGAGTTTCGTACATTTATCGATAACAAAAATGGACGACGGTTGGATCTCATGTTCCGTAATAAATCTGGTTACCTTCAACTTGATCTATTTATTTACCTGTTTATGCACCGACAATTACTTTCGAAGGACAGCGAGCATGTGTGAAAGAATCCCTGAACATTTACCTAGGAACTAGGTGTTCGATTGCCAGGGAAGTCCTACTCACTGCCTTCTCGTGGCGGGGGTGTTGTTTACGAAATTGAGAGGACGAAAAGCGAATGTCCGGCGCTTTAGCCGGATTCCAAACCAATGGTGCACATGAGCTCCAGTATCCTGCGGGAACAAATGGCGCATGAACCAATCGTTGGTCACCGGCTACCGTGGGACTGCATCTCCTCACGATGTTCCACTGCCTTGGGGGTCAGACCTTTAGGCCAATGGCTCGGGGTGTGGCCTCCTAAGAAAACCACCTGCTTCGGTTTGGGCACCCGGGCAGCATTACAGCCCTCACATAAATCGAATGATTTATGTGGCGCTTATGTATTTGGTGCCTTGTTGTACCAATGTTTATGTGCCACAAACTACTCGACTATGCCATGGGAAGAAATATTATACATTTTATTTCTTTTCCAGTCGTAAACAGAAAGAATAAGAACAAATTTCTATGTTCTGCAGAAGTAGTTGCTATTTCAACCCCAACTTATACGTTAAAAAAACATATGTTCCACTTGGAACTGCCCTGGTAATCAACTTACTACCCTTTCTTTTTTATTCTCTCGGTTATATTGATTTGACCTCATCATTATTTAACCATAATAATACTTTTATTATTTATTTTAGTCAAATTTTCGTTTTTAACTTGTTATTATCACCGGTCTTATTATTTGAAGACAATTCAATAAAATGTTTGACCTTTTTTAAACATCCAACCACTCTTGTTTTCGTCTGCCTTCTGCAAATATTATTTCCATCATTAGTATTATTATTATCATCACTATGATGATCATTTCACAATCCGTTTTCGGTTATTACTATCAGTTTCGTCATTTTTATCTACAGAAATCATAACAGTTTATGTATGCTTTTGCACTCGATTACGTCATAGTCCCTTACTCAATATGTTCATGAGTACAGAAATTATATAAAGTCACTGTTCACGAACATACCAGATGACTTTATATATGCTACACACTGAAGTATATTTGTGAAAACATTTTATTGAATTCTATGATTCAATGCACATGAGGAAAATATAAAGCACAAGAAATAGAATGTTTATTGTTCTTGATTTACGTTAGTTAATCCAAACTTTCATAAGTATATGAATTTATAAGAATCATAATGGATAGCAGTTATTGGTAATCTAAAAAAAAACTGCGTGACAGGTCATATCTTTGTGTTACTTAGAATCGGAAACACCCATTTACTGGATTACAATCTCATTGCTCATATACCAAATGTTTGTTGTGAAAAACTTTTGTTATGATTTTCTCCATATTAAAGGTGTACATTTTTGAAATACCAAAATACAGAAGAATATCAAAGTCTCAGTGGTATTTCTAATAACATCCTTAATGAAATAAACAATTAGGTAAATAATTATGTCAAACCATTAAGCTGGTTAGTAGTCTAGATAAACGTAGTGAAACCAAACAGTTAGTATTTATCTCAATCACTAGTGAACATTCTGAGATTCATAAATAATCTATCACTTCATTTAAGTGATGTAATTAGAACTCAGAGAAATGAAGTGTGTTTTTCTCGAAAATATCGAATGATTTATATTAGTAAGTTAATGGATTATACATTGATTTTCATTAGAGTATATATATAAAACATTGACAACAGGAACTTTCAAACCTTTACAAATTAAATACAACCCATATCCATTGTACAAGCACATGACTATCTGAACTCAGTAGCTATGTGAATAACACGTTAAGGCTTTGAAGTAAAAAGTAATAGGTTCGAGTCTCTATGTAAACATCAACACTGTGGTACAGGAAGATATAAGTGACGGGTTCCAAATAAGACGAAACTCACTTATTAAATCCCACTACTTTCCATAATCCATCTCAATTTAAAAATGTTGGTGAATAGATGAAAATAACGATGCGACCCACTCAGGATGCACAATATGAAAAGTGACTAACCGATTCCAGTTCTTAAGATCAACAGCGATAAGATTTAAACCTTTCTACATAAAACCAAATGATGCATATTTTCAGTGTGTTTTGGCCTTATTCTCGTTTTGATTATTATTTTGTGCTTTATTTTAAAGCTGTAATCTGTTATTATTGTCTTCGATGATTATTATGAAATTTACTTCATGTTTTTTTCTATTATCTGTTAATTGGGCGCTTATATCTCGCATTTCTTATTCATAAATTATTCTCCTATTCTTCTATAACCTCTCGATTAATGTGTGACCTCGTTTTAATATTTAAAACTTCGGGTTACCTTATTATGTAATCTCTTTTTATCTTCCTATAGACTGATATATTGATCAAATAACTATAAATACGAATGTATAGTTTAAGTAAAAGATTCTATTCAACAACATAATGGGTTATTTTAATTAGTTAACATATATGTAATGAATTTTACATGTGTACTGGAAATTCAGATTTAATATCAACTTGGTGAAGCTCAAATTTACAGATTAGTTTTCTACTTTATTTGTTAATCAATCGATAGAATAAAATTCATTTAAGAAATTAAAATCAATTAGGATACTTACAATTTATTAATTGCTTAGATGAAAACTAATAACAGATAAATGTAAATCAGAGAAGAGTTTTTGTGGATATTATAGGATTATCAGTATAGGGTTGTGGAGATTATTCAGTTTTTGATTAACATCATGAACTGATTAATGTTAGACCACCTTTGAAAACAGTTGGATGACGGTTCAGTGGTTTAGAGGTTAAGATCCAGGTTTTCAATGGTGGTCTAACATCAATCAGTTCATGATCTCAATCAAAAACTTAATAATCTCTACAACCCTATACTGATAATTACTATGTACTCACCAGTGACTAGCTTGGTGTGAGAAGTTTCTGAGTTATAGTGGGAAGCCGTGACCAGTGGAGCTAATCTGTGTCAGATAGAGACAGTTATCTACCTCAGTACAATGGAAGATGGTCGCGCAATTTTATGGATTGGTCGAGGTTAAACATTAACACCGTTAGATGCCAGCTCAGTGGTCTAAAGGTTAAACGTTCACGAGCGGGATCGTGGATGCGCACTGTTGAGGAGTCCCCTAATAGGACGAAACGGCCGTCTAGTGCTCCCAGGTTCTCAACGATGGTCTAAAATCAACTGATTCATGATATCAATCAAAAGATATTATAGTAATTTAGTAGTTGGATTAGTGAGTCAATTGAAGCTATACCTCCATGGAAAACCTGGAAGCACTGGACGGTTGTTTCGAGTGAGACTATAATTCATAGACGACTTTTGGGTGACGATGAAGTGACCTTGTGTCCACCTAATAACTAGGACCAAATGGAGATTATAAACCAGTGTGAGGAAATAGAATTATGATTTACAGTTGAACGTTAAGGCTAGGAATCAGATTGACGGTTTTCATCACGAACTAACATCAGCTATAATGCCAAAACGTTATTTAGACAAATGTATGGATGAATTTCGCGCTAAAATCACCGTTCTGTTATCTGATTGCGTCGTCTATAAATTACAGTCTCGCCAAAAAATGTTTTTCCTTTCTATTGAGCAAAATTTATTTTTGTAATCATAATGGTTTTGCTGTAACAAAATTGTTTCATATTAGATTTATGATTATTCAAGTGAGTTATTGTTTTATTGTTTGTTTAAAACAAATTTTGTGGAATAGTATAAAATGATTGGATAGAAAATCAAAGATGTACAGTATTACATACACATACATATATATGAGTATCTGTTGATGGAGATATTATTATTATTTTACAGGTATCAATACCAAGTTTGGACTCAATGAGTGGGAAAATTGTATCTCTAACGTCTTGTGACATAATATAAACTACTTCTTCAGAGTAAATATTTATTATTTATTGACTCTGAAGAAGTGGCTTACATTAAGTCACGAAATTCCAAAATACGATTTTTCTACTCATTGAGATATAACAGTCAGTCAGTAACAACGTAGAACTTTGTACGCACATACATCAGTTCAAGTTGCCACACCACATTAGCACAGAGATGAGGTTGTCGATTTAAATCCCATCTTGGTAGAGGTAGTAAGAGTATAAGCAGTAATCGGAAGCATTAGGGCTTGAAGATGTTATTCAAAGAGTATAATCCAGTGAAATAAATTTGGAAAGAGAAAAAAGAGACATGGAGGATTCAGGAGATTAGAATTTGGGAGAACACAAAAAGTGGGTGAACTTGCACCACTGCAAACGATTTTGAGCCATGTCATTCAAGGTCTCTAACTGTCGGTTGCTATTCATCTCGCAGTCCCCAACCAGGTAGTCTACACCTACCACTTGTCAGTGACTTCATGGACTTGTGCCATGGTTTGGTCTGGCCGCCCCTAGCTTTCTTTCAATCTACTCCTACACCATAAAACATCGCACTTCGGGGCAGTCTGCGGTTGGGCATACGTAACATGTGTTATCATTGTTTTTAAAGCATTTAAACTATCGGGATTGCCAATGATTACTTAGAAATTTATTTGAATAAAACAAGAAAATACAATACTAAGTGATATGAGTGCGTATGAGACGGTATATGTTTTCACAAAGATGTCATTTTAATGAAAACAAAAAAAATTGGAAAACTTTCCAAATCAATATGTTTTCCAACTGTTTTCAATAAGTTAAAATAATTTATTCACACTGTCGAGTCTCAGTTTCAAAAAGGAGCAATCAAATTGTAGAATGAAAGTTTAATTGTTTAAATTTCTGAAAAAAAGTCATATGTTTAAGTCAAAGTACTATGAAAGTGATTTGTAGTACGTTCAAGTAGATGATTAACATTCGTAAAATACTATTTAGTGATAAATAAGTCATACTACCCTAGTACTATTTGATTTGCATTATTTATCTCCCATAAAAAATAACTCGCTAATAATTGAAAAGAAGTTAAGTTTGGAATTTACATTTGTAAACATCTCAGCGCTTGAACCCTTAGTTAATTCAACTTTTTACTCGGCAATCTGGTACAAGCTTTTTCAACGTAATATAATACATGGTTTACTGACTAATTGTACACCAAACAATTCGTTCAATTATATTAACAATCTTCAAAGTAAGATTTGTATTAATGTGTATAAGTGGAGAAATTATAAGATAACAGTTGTATATACGTGTACGCATATATCTGATGAGAGAGAAATTCATCGGTCATATATCGCCTGTGATTAGGAATTTTGTTGGATGGAGAATGTTGGTGAGCGGCCTATGCTCCTTCACGAGGAGTAACAGGCGTAAGTAAGATTAGGAATTTGATGAAAATAGACAATTTGTTGCTGTATGCATAAAACGACGATAAATAAACAGACGTTTGTGTTTTTTGTGTTGACTAAACTGATTATTTATCACATAGTCAGGGAAACTAACTGGTTAGAACAAGTGACAGTAATCATTGTTGTTCACATAATAAGAGATAAGTTAAATGAAGGAAAATGTATTTATTAGTTGCTACGACATATTTAATCGTTTTCCATCTCTTCTATTAATATTATTCGAATTCGTCCATGTTTGTATGAAACTAAATTATTTAGAAGGATTATGTTTCATTGCAAAAGCTTAGGTCAGATTGCCAAACGAAAAGTTAGATTTACTTAAAGTTCAATAGCTGAGATTTTTAGAAATATAATTTCCCTCCATAATGTTTTACATCATTCAGAACCTAACTTCTGTTGAATTTTTCTTTAAAATTTTGACGAAAATTCTTCTAAACTGTAAGAAGAGCTATCGGGACCATTATGATGCATAAAACTGTTCTGCCTAGTTAAACATCATACAAAGTATGATATAATAAAAATACAAATCAAACTTTATAACAATAATAATATATTAAACAGGATAACATAACAAACATTACCTACCGATATTAGATACTGTATTCAACAAAGTCATATATGTTCCACCAACAGCTGGATCACTAATTTTAGCATGAAATGCTACCTGTACAACCATCATTATGCTTGATATAATTGAGTAAACAAATAATTTACTTAGTAAAAGTATATAGAATAACCAAGTAAATGAATATGTCATATCTTTAACTGTATTTGCTGTATAATTTTCTGTTGAATTAGTTGTATCAGTGATATTATTTAAATCACTTCTGTTTAGCTGAATAAATTGAATTTGAGTTTGATTAGGCTGAATAATTCTAAAGTATGGTGTATAATAAACAATAGGAATCGTTAACGAGGTCACCAATAATCTGAAAGTAAATATTAAGAGAAAAA